CCCCTGTACAGGTTAGTCAAGACAACAATGAAGTTCCTCGCTAGTATACCCAAGGAAGCAAAGAATGACAGCATGGTTACCAAGTCAATGCAAAACATCTGGATTTCTTTATCTGTTTTACGACATCGTTTGTAATCTCGGCAGCCCTGTCAACAAAAGAGGGCAAGGCAAGCAGTTTGATCATGAAGGCACCCCCCCCCCCCCCACCCCATCCGATATACAGTATCCCGATACGCATAGGCATAGTCTCATTGTAAGCTTTTTAATTATATTTACCTCTTCTTCTTACTCTGTAAATTCTGGCGGAGATTTTTTGTTGTTCGTCCACTTCTGGACCTAAGTGCTGCTATAGAACAGTGGCTTTCAACCATCCTAATAAAGCGATCCTTCAATACAGTTCTTTATGTTGTGGAGACCCCCAACCATTCAATTTGTTTTTCGTTGCTACTTCATAACTTCAGTGAATATGTGTTTTCCGATGCTCTTTGTTGACCGCTGTGAAAGAGTAGTTCGACCCAAAAAATGGTCGTGACCCACAGAGACTGCAACAAGAATCCAACAAACCAACAGTGTCAAGTATCAAGTTTTGAAACAACCGGCCAACATAGTAAAGATGAAACGACAAAATATAAGTACAATCTTTATACCAACCTTGTGTTATTATTTAGCATCTGACTTGGACACTAACTAAAGAACACGACAGAACACTTACCATCAGCGAAATTAGAGTTTGAGAAAGGTCGCGAACAAAACCAGAAGACATCAGGTGAGAAACTACAAGAAATATTGGAATAACTTCTATAGTTGAAAACAAACATTGAAATTCATTTGCAATTTAACGAGAATAAATTTAATGATGCCAGCAACAAGAGAGTGCAACATGAAATTAGAAACACCATGAGGTAGGGACGATCAAGAAGGATATATATTGAAGAAGTCACCGATACTTTGAGACTCTACAACAACGGTCCTCAACCTGTGGGTCACGACCTTTTTTTTGGGTCGAGCTATGAAGTAGCGACGAAAATAATTGTATGGTTGATGGTCGCCACAACATAAGGAACTGAATTAAAGAGCTGTGGCATCAGGATGTTTGAGAATCACTGCTCTACAAAATCACAGCATAGCATGCAACCGATAGTATACTAGCTCGGATACCGATCTGCGACACCTAGCGGAAAAAAAAAAATATATATATATATATATATAAATAAATATATATATATATATATATATATATATATATATATATATATATATATATATATATATATATATATATATATATATATATATATACGAAAGAAAGAATTATAAATTCAATATTTTGTTTGAAACTGTATAAAACGAAGAGCAAAGGACACTTTAATTTAAACGGATATGTGTCTCTAAGTTCTTGTTGAGCTTGGAGTTTGTCTTTTTGTTATCTTTTTTATACTATTTTGTTACAGATGGGGGAGGGGGAGAGGGGGGGGGGCGGGTGTCCATACCATAACTTTAAGATGGCGCCACCTATAAAAGCTCCAGTACGTTGTGACACAGGAGACTTTGATTGGAAGCTAAGCAGGGGATGGCTAATTAGGACCAGCCTAGGACAGTCTGACAGTCATTTGACTTGATTCCTTGCCCATATAAAATCTACACTTTTCCCTTTTTAACTGGGCGCGACCAGAGCAGAAGAAAGCTGGAGTACGCGGTGACAATTATCAAGTCTGAGCAATAGAAAGATGGATTACGCGGTGACAATTATCAAGTCTGAGCAATAGAAAGCTGAAGTACGCGGTGACAATTGTCAAGGCTGAGGAGAAGCGATGCAGAAACAGATCAGGAGGGATGACCTGGGCAGTCTGAGGGTGTCTTTTTCTTCTTTTTCTGTGTTCACCCGTAGAAGAGGGTTTGCAGCAGTGCATTGTTTTTTTTTTTTTTTAGCTAGGCTGTGATATCTGTGCCTTTCGACCAAGACATCAGATGTCAGCAAATCATTAGTTAGACGTCTTTTACGACATACTTGTTCAGGAGCAGTCGGTCTCTTCTTTTATTTTCTTCTCTCTCGAAAAAAAAAATGTGACCCCAGAACCCACTAGGGAAGGTAGAGCATTGTCTTCGAATAAATCAATAAACGTATAAGTTTGTTGGTACAGAAAACGTTTCGGCGGGAGACTGATCACTCGGCTGCAGTGCCGTAATTTTATGTTAACAAAATAGCACACGTATCTATCTTCTTTTTACCCCACCATGACATCACACAAGCGATAAACACCAGATGACACAAAGTGCCACCATGTGGATGAGGATAACCGTGAAGAGGTCCCGGAAACCGAGTTCAGCCACAAGACCATATTTATGGCCAGGTTATATTGCGGCCCCTGGCAAGAGCCAGGGTGGGAGCACGACTAGCTATAGAGTAGGCTCAACGCCTTCTCTAATATAGAGTAGCTATAGTGTAGGCCGTGAGTAGGCCGTGGGTGGGGCATCCAATAACGAAAAATTGCATCCCTCAAAGATGTGGCAACAAATATTCCCGATAATCCCTTATATGGCGGGAAAATCCACGCAAAGCTCCTTTCACCTCTGAACCCGGGTCAAAGTTCGAAGCCTCCAGCCAATCATCTGTCGTTTCCAGAAAAGTGGCGCATTGTTCCGCTCGACATAACAGAGAAGGACTCGAACGGCCACCGCCTATTTTTCATGTTGTGAGCAGCCCTGTACATTTTCTGGCCTGCTTCCCGAGTATACCAACAATATGGAAGAAAATTATAGAACAATGAACGGGTCTGAAAGTGATTTGACGTAAGTGAAGCGTGTTTTATGTGCAGGTTGTTTGACTTGGCGAAGGTTGGCTTCCTTGTCTGAGAGGGACAAGAGGCGGGCTAGTTGGTTCATGCTTGGGACGTTTCCATGTTTGTTTTTTCTTCATCTAATCGATTTATTATACGATATTTAAGTTTATTGTCAGTAAGTCACAAATATATATAAATACTGTTGCATAGTGTGGAACATGGAGAGTACTAAAACAGCAACAGATTACATTATCATCATGACATATTAATTATTGAAAAGAACCAGTTTCTTGGCTCTCCTTTAAATAACGGTCGCTAGCTGGAAAGCCGACGGTCGCTTAGTCGGAGTTAACTCCCTTGGCTTCATTGCAAATACGGAGCGTAAAGAGGAAACGAAACAAATGACATACTTACCTATCATCATACGGTTGCGTAGGGTTTGGGTTAGGGTGTGGGTTAGGGTTAGGGGTAGAGTTAGGGTTAGATGTGAAAATTTTGACGCAGGAGTTCCAAATAATGGCCGACAATCTGATGCTTGTGGCAGTGGCGCCACTGGAAGTCTCCTAAATATGACCGCAATAGCGCGCGGCTGGTGCCCAATTTTCACATCTAACCCTAACCCAAACTCTAACCCTACCCCTAACCCTAACCCTACCCCTAACCACGCAAACTTATCGGTCATTAAGGCATACAGATCTGCAGGAGTCACATCCGTGGCAACTAAGTCGTGCGTCGCAAGAACGTGGTTGCTAATGTGAGTCGGAGCTCGATTTCTAACTGCCATGTTGACCTTGTTTTTGATTCGTGACTTTTCCACTCCGTATTTGCAATGCAGCCAAGGGAGTGAACTCCGACTAAGCGACCATCGGCTTTCCAGCTAGCGACCGTTATTTAAAGGAGAGCCAGTTTCTTTTCCCAAGTGTCCAGACACCATGAGTTGTAAACCCGTTAATATATTAAACCATGGATATCGCAACCCTTTGGCCTTGATTCCATGATAGATACCGTAAATCTGGGAGAAATATGGCTTTTCTGCCTACTCTCGAGTGTGAATTCTGACCACAAGGAGTTCGTCACCCGGTCGCCGCGCAGAAAGTTTTAACCAACTGCGCTAGCGAGCTGGGGGAAAAGAACAATCAATATAGTCAGAAAATATAACGTGAAAGTAAATTAAAATGAATAAAACTGAAGTAGAAGATGAGGTCAGTAAAGTTCGTAGTACGATTGATTGGTACTTGTCTGAAGCAAGTTAAAGAATTAAAATTTTTCTAGAAGGAAGGGAAAAAGAAACAAGATGTCAGCGAGCCACTGCGCATCATAACTTCCAAACTTAAGGCAAGTTCAGCTATGATGACCGCAAAAAAAACAACAGATTATTAAATCATATTTATACCAACACTGTGCTACCAGTGCCAGACTTGGGTGTTATCAAATGCCTACCTACATAATATTAATTTTTAACACCTGTGAAATGAAATTCCTGAGAAAAGCCGCCAGCTTAACCATCTGAGACAAAGTTAGAAATTATATTATCAGTGAGACTATGCGAACAATACTATGCACTGAATTAATTTAAAAGTAGAAGGTCAGATGGTTTAGTCATTGTTAAAATGCAGCCGCAGCAACTAACAACGCAGGTGTTACACACACACAAATCTGATGTGAAAGAAAGAGGTTGCCTTTGGAGATAATAGATTGATGACATTAAAGAGCTTTTACGTCAACATGAAATGGCCTTCCAACCCATCAAGCAGACAGTTTCTTCTCGTGATTCTTAATGGCAAAAGTGGACATTGATGTTGATCATGATAAATCTTTTTCGTGTAATCACTTTCTTATCTGTTATTTAGTTACTGTCAGTTAGTTACAGGTATTTACAAACCAGTATTTTTTTAACTGATCATTTAGCACTTGAGATATGATCATTTATGCCAGCTGCTTCTATTTCCCAGGATTTTTCCCTGTATACATTTTAAGCTTAATCAACCTGGGAATCCAGGTCACTTACGTCATTTATTAGAGAAATCTGCCCCGATTTAAGTTTGGTCCAGTACCAGTGGACTAGAAAGTAAGCATTTGGAAAATTAAAAATCTTGGTTCATTTCCTCATTAGACCTTTTATTTTTAATACTTTTATGACCTAAATAATTGTTCTTTTAAAAAATGTCTGTTACATAATTTTAATTCCAGATCCAGTCCATCGATGGCCCAGAGAAACAGTAATCAGGATGGAATGTCCAGTTCGTATTTAGACGATTATCACAAGTTTTGCCAGAGGCATTCGATACTGGCATCTGTTGAGCAACAAGCTTATGACTATTTACAAGATCTGATTGATCAAGGGGTTTGTGAGACTCCACCCAAGGTACATGCACTTGAAATATTTTAGTCCTTTAAGCTACAGTAAAGGCAGCTTTTGACAAAATGAAGAATATTAGGTGCTTTATTAATATCCTACCCCAAACAGGGGAAATCTACAGGTCACGGGACAGTCTAATTTTTCAGTCGTGGGACATAGGCTGCATTCTCTCGTGGGACTTAGGTGGGTTGGGGTTAGGGCCAGTTCTAGATGTTCTGGGATCGTTAAAAGCATCAGAAAGCTGAGAAACTCCCTCTAACCACCCTTAAAAATGTTGGACTGTCCTGTGACGTCATCTGGGGTAGGATATTAATAAAGAATTGAATATTTTATGCAGTCTATATTTTTGTCAGTTAAGGCGAGGAAGATAATTCTGAAGAGTTATATAGTCTAACATTTGACCAATTAGGGAACATTTTGTGAAAGTGACAGAGATGTGAATTATAGACAAATGAGAACACCCTGTACAAATAAGTGAAATGAATATGTCTTGAGGGACACAAATTCACAAAGAGAACTTCTTATCTTCTTCTTCTTTCATTCGTTCGGAATAGATTATCTATATCTACACAGAGAACCGATTACCCGCATTAGAAGGAGACTATCTACATCATTCTTTGGTTATGTGAAGAAGAAAACTGGAGTACCTCATGTTGGAGAGGGAAAGAGGCATAGGGAGACCCAGAGAGGTGCTGGACAATTTTACATAATGGGATGGGAGATCATCTATGTCAGAACTGATTGAATGTATATGAGACATGTTTGAGAGGCTGTGTATTGATATGGCTTTGGCTATGAGAAGTCTTTGAAGACGAATATTCCAGGAATAAGAGGAAGCATTCTACAAATGCAGTGGTTGGATGTGTTATTGTGACATCCTGTGTATATTGAATGATTGTTATTCAGTGCTCTTGATTTTTACTGTCAGACTTGTTTGCCATGTTCAGTCATCATCTGTTTGAGAGGCAAGGAACCATATGTCTGCATACAATTGAGCCAGATCTGTAAAACAGATGTGCACAGAACACTCAAGTTCTGTAACAAGACTAAAGTTTAGAAGTGAACGAACAACCAGAACTTTCCGCCAGAATTTACAGCTGGGAAACACAGAGGAGATAAAGAAGAATGTTGTATAAACATATATTGTACAAATAGAGAATGTTAAATATTGATAACCCCGTAAAAACACGAAATGTTGAATGAATAGATTTTCTTAATTCGAAGCTTGTTCTGTATTGTTGCAGATTGAGCAGGTTGAGCTGTTTGCCAGTGTCATTTATATGGCTTTGATTGATGCAAGGTAATTGTTATTTCTCCGTTAGGTTTAACATAATTTATATTTCTGCTACAGATTTAACAGCTCTCTTGGGTTTCTGTGTTATCATCAGCTGTTTAATCATTTGATTTTCTGCTCACTAGTTTGTGTTTCTTCTTCTTCTGTTTCTCCTCCTCCTCCTGCTGCTGCTGCTGCTGCTTCTTCTTTTTTTCATCATCTTCTTCTTCCTCTTCTTCTTCTTCTTCTTCTTCTTCTTCTTCTTCTTCTTCTTCTTCTGTATTTTCTATTAAAAGTGTTTTCATGTTGTTTTATTGTTTTAAATCAAGGTAAAGATATTTAAGTCTTTCAGGCCAGCCCATTGTTTCATCCTACTCATAATTAGTTTTAACAATAAACTTTATATGTGCTGTACTTAACAATGTATTTTGTTCTTAACAATGTGTTTTGTACTTAACAGTGTGTTTCGTACTGAACAGTGTGTTTTTGTGCTTAACAGTGTGTCTTATACTCAACAGTGTGTTTTTGTACTTAACAGTGTGTCTTATTCTCAACAGTGTGTTTTTGTACTTAACAGTGTCTTATACTCAACAATGTGTTTTTGTACTTTAACAGTGTGTCTTATACTCAACAATGTGTTTTTGTACTTTAACAGTGTGTCTTATACTCAACAGTGTGTTTTTGTACTTGACAGTGTGTCTTATACTCAACAGTGTCTTTTTGTACTTGACAGTGTGTCTTATACTCAACAGTGTGTTTTTGTACTTGACAGTGTGTCTTATACTCAACAGTGTCTTTTTGTACTTGACAGTGTGTCTTATACTCAACAGTGTGTTTTTGTACTTGACAGTGTGTCTTATACTCAACAGTGTGTTTTTGTACTTAACAGTAATTTGTACTTAAAAGTTGTTTTTTTTCTAAACAGTAAGTTCTGGTCCTGACAGAACCATACTTTTTTTTTTTCAAAAATGGCATTTTCACCCGGGTTGACCCAGCCTAAAATGGGTACCAAGGACAGTCCTGGGAAGTAAAGGCGGCTGGCATGATGTTAACCACATCACCCACTGAGTGCCGATTTGTATATAAACTATAGGTCTAGCCCTATATGCCCAATACGCCTCAAGGCGTAGAAAAGATTTCTCTACCTTTCACTTAACAATACGTGTTGAACGTCTTCTCTGTTCACCAACTGTAAGCTCTGGCAGAAAGTCCTGGCTGTTCATTCATTTGGACTTTGGCTTTGTGCCGGGGCCTGAGTTTTGTATGTACATCTGTGGGGATGTGTTGTACTTAAGAGTATCTGTTGTACTTAATATGTGGTAACTATATGTGTGTGATATGCTTAACAGTTTGTTTCTACTCACCAATTTGCCAGGTTGCCATATGGCCCTTCAGATCCTCACCTTGAAAATGGCTCGCTGGAACCACCCACTGTGACTGTGATGGATCTTCTCATCATGGCCGACATAAAGTAAGTACTGGCTGAACTGTTTTACAACCAAACTGTTGAAATTTTTTGTAAGTTAATTTGCCAGAGGTTTTGACTTATTTAAATTTTGCCAAAGCTATCTGTTGTTACATGTTATGACTGTCATACCATTACTGACATGTGCCAGAAAGTTTTTCTTGGCTCGTTATCTCTCACTGGAGGCTCTCAGCCAACACCCTGGCCCCCCCCCCCCCCCCCCACAGATCATCCTGTCTGCTTCAGCTTCCCCATTCACTTCCTTAAGTATAGGTCTAACTCTCCCTCCCCATGTGGATTCCATGCCCTATTTTGGCACGCGCCTCTTCCCCCCTATTATTGACACCTATAATACTTTACAGAAGAATGCTCAAAATACCTTGGACAGCCAAAAAGAGCAACCAAGAAGTTTTGAAAGAGACTGGAGCCCGAAGACAACTTGTCACAGACATCAGAAGGAGACAGTCATCATTTTTTTTTGGGGCCATGTTATGAGAAAAGGGAAAAATGGAACATGTTGTGACCACTGGAAAGATCTGTGAAAGGAGGGATAGAGAAAGGCGAGAGAAGATTCTTGAGTCTTGTTGTATGGCATCGAGGTGTGTCAGCACACGAACTAATACATGCTGCAGGAGATCGTTGATTGTGGAGAGGCATGATCACCCACGCCAATCAGCAAGGCACCTGATAATGTTGACTTAAATTACTGCATAACATTTCAGTCACAAGGGTTGTTCCCATTTGAAGAAATCTTATCTTCTACAGTTTCCTTTGATTTCTCCTCATAAAAACAATTTTCTTTATGTCCCTGCTTCCCTAGTATCAATAAGCTGTTTCAAACGATGGCTGTCATAAAGGTTAAACTGTCGCTGTCTGCCTCAGTTCAGAGTCACCTGACGCAGATGGAGAAGAATTATTGTATAGTCTCTGCATTGTTAAACACTTTTCAGAGGTAAGTCATCTCCTTTTTTATATATTACCTGTATTCATGTATTTTTAAAAAATTACTGCTAGTAAGATGTTTAAATTTCTTGGACCGCCAAAAGGGGTAATCTAAATATTTTAAAAGAGGCTAGGAAATGGAGGCAACATGCTTCAAACATCAGAAAGTGACAGTTGTCAATTTTTTTGTTTTTTCCTTCTATCTTCTTTTTCTTCTTCTTTTGCTGCTTCTTCTCTCTTTCTCCTGTTACCGTATCATTATGTTAGAGGAAGATCTGAGGACCTTATCTGTACTCTTTCTAATGCATTGCATTTCTTTATGCCGTCATTCCATTTTGTTTGTTTGTTTGTTTTAGTATCCAGAAGCCATGAGTTGTTAACCCTTAGGCTCGGTATTATGGATATCGCAACCTTTCGGCCTTGATTCCATTGTAAATACCGTAAATCTGGGAGAAAATGTGGCTTTCCTGCCTACCCCCGGGATTGAACCCGGACCACAAGGAGTACGTCACCCGGTCTCGGCGAAATCCGGTTTAGCCAATTCCGCTAGAGAGCCGGGGTCATTCCATTTTGTGCGTGTTCTTACCCTTGCTCTATGTTCATTATATTTCTTAAGTTTGGCTCCTTGTGGCAGTTGGTAATAAAGAATTCTTGTCCTCACATACACATGCGCGCACACACACACGCACACACACAAATATTTATATATATATATAGTGCGACTGGGTTTGATGCCAGCTGCGGGCCTTGTTCACTGTGTTGGTTTCGACAGTGGTGTCGAGAAGCTGACCGCCCAGAAAGCAGTGGCTAACTACTTGTAAATTTGCATACACAAAACAGCCCAAAAAATGCTGGGGTTGGTTCTGCAAGGTCCTGTAAAGGATACACAACTAACTTTATACAGTACCGACCTGATGAGGAGAACACACTGGGGACCCAAGAAATGCTGTCATACTGCTACATATATTATAATTTGAATTTCTCGTACTGTCATACTGCTACAGATATTATAATTTGAATCTCTCGTACTGTCCTATTGCGACAATTGACTATAAAAGCACATAGGACTGCAGAATTGGCTAGAGAAACTTTCAGGTGGGCCATGATAAGGGCGTTGTTCTATAAAGAACTTGCTGATTGATAATGATGATGATGGTGACTCAGTTACAAAAGTTAACCTATACCAGATTGCTTGTGGTCATAAAGAGTGCAGAATAGTCCATCATTTAAAAGATTATATTCTAAACAAGGCGATGTTTTGGAAGTGAAGAAAAAAAAAGTTGAAATTAGGTGCACATCTGCATGGAAAAAAAAATCAAAATGCATATACATTTACTGTGCCAAGTCGTTTTCAAATTTGATAGTTAGCAATTTGAAGTAGATAAATCACTATTTAAACATTTTGAAACTGAAAATTTTAAAATGAATTTTATGCTTTTATTTCAGTCGGCTGTCAACTTCAGTTTTCAGAAGTTCAAACAGTTATAATGGCTTTGAGTAAGTGTTTTGTTTTATTTATTTTTAGGTAAACTTTTTAAAAAAATGCCTCTGAGTAAATAAATTATTGCTAACTTTGCTTACAGTGTTGAGATTACAAAGCCAGATGAAATATTTCCATTTATATAAATACATTCCAATTTGAAATAAGCCGAAATTTCTCTGACCTTTTATATATAAAATGAAATCATTCTCATGTAGCTGGTCTTTTCATAGTTGCTTTCATCACAGTACACTGGAATGTAACTGGGGTCCTCGCCAACTTTCCCGCCTCATGCGTAGTGTCCTTGATTGCCTGAGTCTACTGTTATAGTGGTCATCCCCCCGCCTTTCCTTTCATGAACCATACCCTTCACCAACTTCTTGAACAATAATAATTATTTTGAGTTGAAAACTGTGAGGCTAAAAGAGTTAATACAACACCATCCTTTGTAAACTTAGCTCTTTCTCCCCAGTGACCTATAAAAAAAAAAAAAGAATGCCTATGACCAGTATTTAGGAAATTCCCAGGGGAAAAATTCTTTAAAACATAATTTTACACAGGTCATCATCAACATCATTTAAAAAAAATGCATTTATCGACCAAACAATAGTTTTCATACAGACTAAAAGGTTATAAGTAAATACAAAAACAGCAAAGAAGTAACTGACTTACCTCTTTGTGACAGTGAAGAACAAAAATGTCTTCAGCGACTCGTACCTGACTAGTTGTAATGGGAAACTGTGACTTCATAAATAATTTCTATTAAGAAATCCATTTGTTTACAAGGACTCCTCCCGGTAATTGCTATATTTAGTAAACATAAAAGATTCTGCCTAAACATTTGTGCAAGAGCATACGGTACTGTTGTTATCCATGCTTCTCATAAACACGGCACTATAGCCAAGTCGGTAAAGTGACATTTATGGGAAATTGGCCTCAACAGGAAGTGTCGATTTTGTGGCTTCTCATGTCGGCAGAGTTAAAGAGCCTGCTACATGATGATGATGGTAATAGAAATTATGTCAATACTCGTCTCACTCTAAAGACATCAGTGAAAACATTTGATTATCCTCAGTGAAACAGTTCTGCCTCCGATACCGGAGACTGAGGGTGTGGCCTTTAGACAGAAGCAGTGCTGGCTCTTGTTCCTGCTGTCCAAATGTGAGTTTGACGACTATTTTAGTCCCTGCTTATAGTTTTCTTTGTTCCTTGAATGCTGTTTGTTCTCCATGTGTGGGTTTCGGAACCTCAGTTTGGGGGGAAGAAGAAAAAACTTATGAGACGACTTGTTAGGGGTGTGTCTTTCCAAGTCGGAGTGCATCCGCCTGAAAGGGGAGAGATTTTCAGACTGGGTACAAAAAAAAGGCTAGATGTGTAAAACGGATGTGCAAGCAACACTTAATATCTGGAACAAGACTGAAATGCACAAATGAACGAATGAGAACTTTCTTTCTGTCAGAGTTTACAGATGATGAATGTTAAGAAGAAGTCACATACATTTTCCCCCTTTCTTTTTCTTGTTTTCTATTTTTACTTCATGATCTTTTTTTAAAATTACTTTTTCATAATTACAACCCCTGTCTGCTTGGCTGCCCTGCTTTCTTTCTTTCTTTCTTTCTTTCTTTCTTTCTTTCTTTCTTTCTTTCTTTCTTTCTTTCTTTCTTTCTTTCTTTCTTTCTTTCTTTCTTTCTTTCTTTCTTTCTTTCTTTCTTTCTTTCTTTCTTTCTTTCTTTCTTTCTTTCTTTCTTTCTTTCTTTCTTTCTTTCTTTTTTTCTTTTTCTTTCTTTCTTTCTTTCTTTCTTTCTTTCTTTCTTTCTTTCTTTCTTTCTTTCTTTCTTTCTTTCTTTCTTTCTTTCTTTCTTTCTTTCTTTCTTTCTTTCTTTCTTTCTTTCTTTCTTTCTTTCTTTCTTTCTTTCTTTCTTTCTTTCTTTCTTTCTGTTCATTTATCTGCCTCCTGCAGCTTTATCTACATATATGTTAACTCAGTACTGTCACCACATATTGAAAACTTTGATGCTAACAACAGTATAATAAACTTTACCTATGTTAATCATCATCATGTGTTACAGACAACCTGCTGTCAGACCGACTGGAGCTGTTCCAACATTTTCAGCTTCTCCTGTGTTGTCTGGAATTTGTCTTGCGTCAGACTCCCTCATTCCTGCTCAATGCTCCATACGGTAATTTAATATTTGTCTTGAAATTTAATTTGTTGAACTCATTCGGTGGAAACAATGCATGAATTGCGCTTGGCCTGTTGAGTTGAAACCCAGTAGTTGCTAATGTGCTAAAGAACTCTTTAAAAAAAAACTACTGCAGTTACTGCCTGCATTCACCCACTTGTGGAGGGGGTGGGGGGGGGGGTGTCTTTGAGCCTGAGGATCTAGGACTGCATGGCTACAGGCTGTGCCACAGACCGAAAGTTAGGATGTTTTTATTTGCCTCTGAAAGAAACATATTTATCACTTTACAGAGGATTCGAACCAGGGTCTCCTGTATAAGAATCCAGCAGTCTTAACTAATTAAATAGGTAATTGTGACGAAGCTGTGGATGTTTCATGTGTAAAGATGGCATTGTTATGCCACGTCACTGTGACCATATGCCCAGTTAATCTCAAAGTATGGAAACCAGACCTCTACATTTTCCCCTGTTTTGATTTAAAAAAAAAATATTTTTAAGTCTTTTAAACCCTGTTGCCATTAAATTGACACTTCCAGTTGTGTAAGATTCCCCTTAAATGTCACACACATTGGCATGTTTACGAGGCCTATAGTTAACTCTGTAGTTTGTGTTCATACCTGAGTAGCGTTTAGGCGTTCCTGATATCTGGTAATCTGGTAATCCGGTAATCCTAGTTTCAGCTTCATAGCAAACGGGTCACCCCACACATGCTCCGCTCCTGTGCCAACGAAAAACAAACGCAGCTCACAGTGTCACGCCATGCACTCAACTCAGAAGCTGGGCGACGAAACTACATCCTTCCAGTCTACAAATGGAGCAAAAATGCAACGGCCACCGTCTGGAAAAATATTTGCCACGACTTAAAAAAAAAAAAAAAAAAAGGTGGCCGTACCTAGCGTCCATTTTGACCGGAAGAATTATATGAGGGTTAATAAACGGTCACCCCAGCAGTACCCTCATTATTAGCTGGGGAAGGGACTTAGGACATTACATCCACCAGCAGGCGTCACCCCTACAACGACCTGCCTGCCCTCGTTAACGACTGTTCACCCAACAGCCATGCAGTTCTTTGGCACGAAGGAGACACCTTGAACTTGGGTTTCGTACTGCCGACTCCCTACTAAGATGTTATTTTATGTTCTGTTATCACAATTAATGTCACTGCACATTGGGCATACCCATGCGTGCTCAGTTCTCCGAAGCAGCAGCCACTCTATAGTACTTCTACTAATTGTCCCCATGAGAAGCTGGTTATATTGTCTCCTTTCTCGGCCTCGAAGACGGCAAAGACGTGCATCACCATGCTTAACTCCCATGTCACGCAATCGTGTTAGTGTCAGGGATTCCTCATTCTCCACTAGCCCGGTTCGTACAGCGTTGACTATGTCTGCTCTGTCCATACTTTTTTCCTGCAATCATTAGTGCAGTGCTTGCCAGTTGGTCTGCTCGCTCATTTCCCTTCACGCCCGCATGACCCGGTGTGTAGATCCAGGTTACGGAGGTTAAGTGCGATTTCCTGATGCTTTCTATCCATTCAGAGCGCATACTGCCTGTTGCTATCTTCTGAAGCATATTCATTGAGTCTGAGACAATTACTACCTGTGTGGCGGTTTGCTCGGATACCCATGCTAAAGCTCTAGAAGCAGCGGCTATTTCCATTGTCATGCTTGACGTGGTTGTCTGGTAAGCGCCGCTGTCCTCATGTATTTGTTTTCCCCTTTCTTTGCGCTGTGTATGCCCATGCTGACCTTGATCCGCGCTTCACAGATCCATCTGTGTAGATGATGGTATCTTCTGGGTCTGAATGCTGATCTATCAGTTCCCTTACTTCTGTGTCTACCGCCGCGGGAATTTGATCCCTGCAGTATCTTCCGAGTGTGATGACAACCTTAGAAATGCCATGCATGTCTACTGGTGTATTCGTCCATTCTTTTCCGTGGCTGATCACGTCTAGGTCACATACCTGCTGGATTAAGTCCTCAGCCTTTGCCATCCAAGAGCGGCCCCTTTTGAGACGCGTTCCTTTTGTGTTGTGAATAGCTTTGTGTAATGGGTGGTTAACATCTGCCGATACCCTCATGTAAGCCTTGACCTGTGCCACTTTGTATCTGCTTGTCATAGTCGGCAGACCCAGGATATAACGCATGGCGTTGCAGGAGGTGTCTTTTGTGCAGCCGAGTATGAGTCTCATGGCCTCATTCTGTACTCGGTCCAGTCTTTCTAGATGGGTTTTGCTGACAGTGAGGAGGCCGAGACCATAGTCAATGACGCTAAGCACAAGCCCTTGATAGAGAAGGAAAAGTAGACGTTGTTCAATATCAGCTGCTGCTAGCACCTTGAGTGCTGTCAAACCTTTCCTGGCTCTAAGTATGACGTTGTCTACGTGGCATTTGAATGACAAGCATCTGTCAAATGTCATGCCCAGGTATTTCATGGTGTCCGTTCTCTCGATGTCCACACCACAGATGCTTACGACTGGCGTTGGTGTACTCACGATGTGGGTATTTAGAGAGAACCATGTTAAGGAGGCTTTGGACGGGTTCACATGAGCTCTTGATTCCTGGCACCACTCACTAAGTCTGTCTAGTTCGTGTTGTAGTGTGGTTGTAATTTCCTGCCTGTTTTTACCTCGACGGTACACAAGGATATCATCTGCATACGACATTGTTCTGCCTAGGCCTACGCGTTGTGCACTAGTGACTCCTGCTGTGTACACATTGAAGAGCACAGGCGACAATGGTGATCCCTGGGGCAGACCCATTAGGACGCATTGAGGTTCGGATGCCCATTCACCACATCGAAGCGACACTGTTCTTTCAAATAGCGCTGCTGCAATCCAGTTGACCAAATTTGTTTCTATCTGCATATCCAACAGCAGTCTGATGAGCATGTTGTATGGGACGCTGTTGTACGCATCTTCTAAGTCAATAGCGGCTGCAGCCGTTTCTATTCCCTCCTGGAAACCTTCGTATGTGTCGTAGGCAAATACTGCAGCATTGCACCATGTATCTCTTCCTGGTCGGTAGCCACCTAGTGTAGCGGGGAAATGGCCACACGACTCCAATATTTGGGTTAACGTTCTGGCAACGATTTTTTCCATGAGTTTTCCTACAGTGTTCTGGAGTGTGATGATTCTGTAGCCATTTATTCTCGTGTGGTCTTTTCCTGGCTTAGGAACCGGTCTGAGGTAGCTGTGGAGCCAGTCATCAGGAATAGTGCCAGTTTTCATGGTGTTGTTAAAAATCGTGGACAGTTCATCAATATCTGTCGCCTCGAGGCTTTTGAAGTGGCTGTATCTAATGCCATCAGGCCCTGGAGCTGTGTCCGGACAGGTCTTCAGTGTTGCTCTGATGCAGTCCGTTGAGATGTATACTGTATCATCGACTTCCTCCATTTCAGCCATCTGGATATCATATAAACTCTGTCTTATCTGTTCCCTCTCTTCCCTATCTTTCTTTTCCGTCTGCAGAAGAAATCTGTGCAGGATAGCCTCGCCCTTGTCTTTATCCGATTGTAACACCACCCCGTTGTCCATCTTTAGCTCGGGCATAACAGAGGTTTGTTTGCCTCCGTTCATCTTTTGGTGAAGCCGCCAGAATTTTTAAAGTGATTTTTCATAACCTATTTCCTCGCAAAAATGTTCCCACATTGTGTGCTTAGACTCCTTAGCGAGTTGTTTAAAATGTTCAGTGAGATTATATTTGCTAAAAGTGGGGGGGGGGGGGGGGGGGTGGGGGGGGGGGGGTTGGGCACCAAAAGACTTTTTTTAAAGCCAAAGTTGACATTAAATTTCCTGTAGGCTCAGTGATAGAGGACAGGCCATGAGTCATGAAATTTCCTGTAGGCTCAGTGATAGAGGACAGGCCATGAGTCAGTAAATTTCCTGTAGGCTCAGTGATAGAGGACAGGCCATGAGTCATGAAATTTCCTGTAGGCTCAGTGATAGAGGACAGGCCATGAGTCAGTAAATTTCCTGTAGGCTCAGTGATAGAGGACAGGCCATGAGTCAGTAAATTTCCTGTAGGCTCAGTGATAGAGGACAGGCCATGAGTCAGTAAATTTCCTGTAGGCTCAGTGATAGAGGACAGGCCATGAGTCAGTAAATTTCCTGTAGGCTCAGTGATAGAGGACAGGCCATGAGTCAGTAAATTTCCTGTAGGCTCAGTGATAGAGGACAGGCCATGAGTCATGAAATTTCCTGTAGGCTCAGTGATAGAGGACAGGCCATGAGTCATGAAATTTCCTGTAGGCTCAGTGATAGAGGACAGGCCATGAGTCATGAAATTTCCTGTAGGCTCAGTGATAGAGGACAGGCCATGAGTCATGAAATTTCCTGTAGGCTCAGTGATAGAGGACAGGCCATGAGTCATGAAATTTCCTGTAGGCTCAGTGATAGAGGACAGGCCTTGAGTCATGAAATTTCCTGTAGGCTCAGTGATAGAGGACAGGCCATGAGTCATGAAATTTCCTGTAGGCTCAGTGATAGAGGACAGGCCATGAGTCATGAAATTTCCTGTAGGCTCAGTGATAGAGGACAGGCCATGAGTCATTAAATACATTTTTTGAGACCCAGGGAAATGTACTTTTTTAATGCTTCACTGTATTTACGTTTGTTGATTACCCCCCCCCCCCCCCCCCCCCCCCCCCCCCCCTTATATTTGTAAGTATTTCAAAAACATTTTTAAAAATTATAAATTAAAAAACTGTAAAAATATTTGTTAGTGACCTGTATCGATTGTAAAAACTTTTTTTTTTAAAGAAATTTTTTTTCGGTTTGTGACCCACATTTTTTTATTGTTCGCATGGCGCAAGGGTAATGTAGTCGAAAACAAAGTATTTTGCCCCTCATTTGTCTGATTTTATCTTTGACATAATCTTTGCCTGTTTGACCTATCTTTGGAACAGATGAAATGCGGTTTGGTTATGTTTCCTCCAGCGAAAGTGTTCCAATGCTGGAAAAACTGGCCCAGGAATTTGGAGTTGCAGCAGATGAGGTATGTTTCTGTCTGATTAGGGTGACTAGAGGATAGTGAATAGAGAATAATCAAATAGAGAATAATCAAATAGAGAATAATCAAATAGAGAATAATCAAATAGAGTATAATCAAATAGAGAATAATCAAATAGAGAATGGTTGAAAATTTAGTTCACTGACCAATCACCCTCATGACGCATTGACAACTTCATGAGCGCTTAGAAACCATCTGTAGTATCTTCCTCAACGGGTGGCAACTGATAACACCAGTTCTGTGTTGGTTTACTATTCTTCTTTGGCTGCCTTTATTGTTTTCATGTCTGTCTACATGTCTTTTGACATAAAGTTCTTGTAGTCTTGTCCAGTTTGTCGATTCACCATTATCTCACGAATAATCTCCTGTCTGCTTTTTGAGAGTATTTAAAACATCAGCCCAGTCCATTGCTTTCGCTATGTCTACCGTGGCCCTGTCAGTAAGCCAGTCCACTTTTTCATTTCCCCCCTCTTATCCAAGAGTGCCTTGGCAAAAAAATGATATTGATTTCTATCAGATCAGATTTCCTCAGATGCTCCAACCATTGTCTTAACCTATCCTGTCTCTATCTTGTTACGCATTTTCATGGAATAAGTTAGAAAGCACATTTGGGGAAAATTGCTGTGTCTCTAGCCATGTCATTGCTTTTTTGTTACCGCCATCATCTCCATTATCAGAATAATGGTAGTCAAGGCAAAAGCCCCGCTGTCTTCCTTTATAGTTCTCCCTCCAACCAGAACTGTGAAAGCCCATGAACTTTACCTGTGTCAAATGACAGATCCATCGGTGTCAATAACTGTACCTTCATCAGCAAAATTCTCAAGAATTAAACCTTGAACTTCCACCTCCACCACCAGTTGGTTTGCTTCTTCTTCTTCTTTCGCTTGCTTGAAATAGATTATCTATATCTTCAATGTTGTCTCTAGTATGAACTTCACTGTCTTTTGTAATTCATTCAGCGACCTGTAAGGTTTGGCTTCAACTAGCGTTTCTCTTGGTCAAAAGTTTTGCCTTGATATGTTGTATTTGGGACAGTCTTGGAGGACTTGATCTGTTGTCTCAGATGCCAGTCCACATCTGCACATGGCTGATTTGCCAATATTAAATTTTGTTTACATGTTGCGAAGTCGATTGTGAACTCTTTTAAGTTAGTTAGTTGACAGATTATCCTCATTGCACGTTGAACCACTCAGTCCATAAATGCTTGGATCCCCTCCTCAGTAAATCCCGCAGTGTGTAGCGGCTAACAACACCAGTTCTGTGTTGGTTTATTCTTCTTCTTTAGCTACCCGAGTAGTATTCTTATTTGGCGACACCCCGTTTAACATGTTGTTCTTGCAGTCTGACCATGGTTGCGCATTCACAGTTCCCAGTTGGTTCACGCAAAAGTCTTAACTCCTCTCTGGACTGTCCATTATAAAGTAATCGTCTCTGCCAGTTTTGGTAGTCCTGTGATTGATTTGATTTTTCTTTTCTGATGATAAGAGACTGGACTGGCAGGTTGTTCTTCATTTGCACCTTCTTAAGCTAGTTTATCAGCTCTCTCATTTCTGGCAACTCTTCAATAATAAGGTATCAAAACAGCAGGTTTTTTTTTTTGTCTGCGGTCTCTGTCTAGTTTTATACAGACCAGAAAGGATGTACACCACTCTGCTAGATTCGTGCACATTTGTTGCCAGGTTCAATGTCCTCAAGGTAACAAATCTGTTGAATAATGTCCTCGGCCTGACTCATCCAAGATTTTTGTCTCTTTTAACCTGCTACCCTTCTTCCTGCAGACCTCACTGAGCATTGAGTGATGTGTGTCGGCAGATGTGATGGTTGAAAAGAGAATAGAGAATGGTCAAAAAGATAAGGTTTTAAATAGAGAACAGAGAATTTTCATCTCTGTGCGGCGACCGGGTGGCAAACTCCTTGTGGTCCAGGTTCACACCCGGGAGTAGGCAGAAAAGCCACATTTCTCCCAGATTTACTGTTTCTATCATGGAATCAAGAATGAAGGGTTGTGATATCCATAGTACTGAGCCAAAAGGTTTACAACTCATGGTTTCTAAAGACTTTAAAAAAATGAAAAATTTAAGGATATGCAGCTAGTTATACAGTTTTAATGATTTTGTGTGACCAGTTTGGCTCTAAGGAAGACCAAGCCCAAAATTAGTGGTGTAAAATTCTAGATGAATGTTTTCAAAGAGAATTATTCAATATCTTGTGTCTTTTAAACTTCACAATAAATGTTATTTCATATTTTGGTTCTTTAATTATTCCATTCCCATTAAATAAAACTTGTTCCTTCTTCATAAATGTTATCAAAATATTTTGATATTTATCATAAATTCACTTTGGCAGCTGAAGGTGTGTGATGTTACTGTATTGATTTTTGTGAGAAAAACAAGAATAGACCGACTGCCTCCCCAACAAACATGTCGTAAGAGTCGACTAATTGGGGGCTTCCTTCAAAGTCAGAATGCATGTACCTGAGAGGCAAGGAACCAACAATCTACAAACAGTTAAGTCAGATCTGTTAAACGGATGTGCACACAACACTCAGGTTCTGGAACATGACTAAAGTCAAGAGGTGGACAAACAACCATAACTTTCTTCTGGAGTTTACAGCGGTGAGCGCAAAGAAGAAGTAGAAGACTGTATATGATGCTCATGTGTATCTCTTTAGTAAGTTTGTATTTTTTATGTAGAGACTAGCTGTGTTTACCAGAACAGAAAACTGTTTCTAAACTTGGTCGATGCAACCCAGAATTAGTCTTGATATAACATTGTTGATGAATTTAGTGAAGAGAATGATTTTGTCTCTAGTGTGCATTAAAATATATTACAATTAATTACATCTTTTAGTGCAAGAATTATTTAAATAAAAAACCTAATTGAAAAAGTAGTTGAAAAAATGTTTCATTTAAAATATACTTAGCTTGACAATTGAAAGTGTATAAAGAACTTACTATACTGATGCTAGTGTATATCTCTTTAGTAACTTTGTGTTTTTTTTTTCTAGACTCTTCAGCTTCGTTTGAACAGCACAGAGAACTATTTCCAGAGTTTGCTTAACAAAGATGGAGAGCTTGATGTAAGTCGTCGTCATCATCACCAACATCATTATCTTCTTCTTCCTTGTGTTCACTGGATGCAAACTCAGGCGAAAAGTTCTGGTTGTTTTTGCCACCTGTGGACTTTAGTCTTGTTCCAGAACCTGAGTGTTGCCTGCACATCATTTAACAGATCTGACTTAATTGCATGCAAATCATAACCCTTCAGTTCTGTATATAAAACGCAGGCGCCAGTTAATGAATTCTTGGTAACCCTGACTCATAAATTAAAATAACCAATGTCCTGAGTTTAATCCTTTTACTACACGTTGACAAATAAAAGAAAAAAAACCAGAGATGAACATGAGTTTCTTCAAACAATTCTTATATTTAAAAAATCCTGTTTTACACAGGTTGTTATTGTTGTTGTTATCGATCCAGCGGCACATGAGCTTTCACCCTTTGGCCCAATGCCATGTAGTGGAATTTGCATTTTTTCACAAGCTGTTCTTTTCCTCCGTACAAGGTGTTCCACTTGTCTGGTCTCGGAGGAAGTAGCATTCTTCTAGTCTCACTGAGTTTTGGGCACTCAAAGAGATGGTGTTCAACAGTTTCTTAGGGATAGTTACATAGCTGGCACTCTGGGGAGTGTTGTAGCTGGATTCTGTTTAGATGTCTACTGAATGGAGTATGTTGCGTTCTAAGTCTGAAGATGGTGGCCTGATCCCTTCTTGTTAGATGGTTAATGCTGTCATTAGGATCAGGGCTAGCCATGTGTCTATAAACCTCTCTTCCAGTGTCTCCCATGGCCCATCTGTTCAAACAAGTCTCTTTGTTTATAGCTCTTATAGGTGTTTTTGCTGTCTGTAGGGTTGTCGCCGTAGGTGGTTGTTTTTGTGTTGCTCCTTTCTTTGACAATCTGTCAGCTGTGTTATTACCTGGTGTGCCGGGGGGCCTGGAATCCACTGCATCACTATTCTGATGTTGTATGAGGTAATAAGCTGATCAGCATCCAGGATTATCTTGGCTATGTCAGTTCTGCAGTGTTCACTGCCCTCCAGAGCTTGAAGGGCAGACATTGAATCTGTGAAGACGACAATATTTTGGGCCTTTGAAGGGTAAACATCCATTACAGTCTTTAGGTGGTATACTGCTGTTTCCAGTGCAATTATTTCGGCTCCATAGTTTGAACAGAATTCCCCGCATGCATTAAAAATCTCTTCAACAGATCCATCGGGATAGTTTTACACAGGTAAATAATACAGTTTATTTATCTCCATTTTGGATCCCCCCTGGATGTGCATTCCCCTGGGTTTAATGCAAATATGTATCAGGTATCTGATGCCATAACCCCATGACCTTCATCACTGAAGCTTACTGGAAAATTTAAAGTCAACCTGGCTTTAAAAAACATTGGATTCACAAGGTAACCCCTCCAAATGCTATATTTAGTGAATATATTATTGACTAGGCTTCCTAAATGCTACAAATAGAGACAGTGTTATTTAACTCCCTTTTTGGAGAACAGGTAACTGCAGAAATGGTGATTTATCAGCATTTTCAGGGCTATGACACATCCAGAAGTGACTGGATTTAGCTTTCTCCTGGCGATAAGGTTAACATCTAATTTTGTTTTAATTGGGGGATAACTACAGAAACTGATTTGCTTGTGTCGATAGCTTGTGCAAGAACTTCAGAAACAATATATACTTTTGTATCTACAGTCAGAAAGTCTTTGCATCGAGTATAGAAAAATTTACGAGAAGGAGGGGGACCTGGACGAGCTCCTTTTCTTTAACAATGACCCACATTTACTTCCTCCACAATCAAATAGGTAAGTTTTAAAGCTTGTTTTCTTCTTTTTATTTGTTTTCATCTAAGCACACAATTCCATTGTGCCCATTTACAGCATGGCTGCGATATTTATGCCTTTTGTTCAGCACATCTGACTTTTTCAGACACTTGCTCTGGTCTTTATGTGAGTTCTGAGGTCCCATTTGGGAAAGCAAAGGAGAGGGACGACCCCCCCCCCCCCCCCCCCCCTCCCATCCCCCTTCCCTACTGGTAAAGACTAAAAGGCAACTAATTAGGCCTATTTTCTTTGAAGTCGGAGTGCATGTGCCTAATATGCGAGGGACCAACATTCTGCATAAAAGGAATTTTACCACCCCTGGATATTTCCAAGGGCTCATGACCTAATTTCTTTTAGTATTCACAGGGCAGAAGGGTTAACTCTTTGAGTCCCAGAAGATGGCAGCCAACGCCCCAGCAAAAGCTGGAATTATAATTACATGCCCATAGGTATACTGTATCTTCAGGGAGCTGGTAAACAACTCTTGTGGGAGACAAATATGTTGTTACAGTACTTTAGAATGGACTGACTAAATACAAACATACAAACATAACATGAAACAATACTGCAAGACCATATACATTATTTAAACCAAATTTGCAAAGAGTATGAAAATTAACGCCAGTGAAACAGATATCATGACTGTAGCCAAAGTAGACAAAACAATAAATATCCAGCTAACAGAACACCATCTGAAACAAACCGAGAACTTCAAATACTTTGGAAGCTTAATATCATCAGCTGGCAAAACAGAAGATGAGCGCAATGACAGATGTAACAAAGCAAACCAACTCACTGGACAAATGGCGCCAATACTAAGAAACAAACATGTTTCAGTAGAAACCAGAAAAGCACTTTATGACACAATTTTCTTGCCAACCCTGTGCTACTAATGCAAGACCTGAACATTGACAAAAAGAGAAAAGAAATATTATGGAAGCGAAGAACCGACAGCGCAAGCTATGGACAGAGGGAATAACCTGATTATACTTTACCTCGACACCACAAGATTCCAGGGGATCAAGATGAGATGAGATGAAACATATCTTGTTTATTTGTAATTTAGTAAGATCTAATTATGGTGCTTTATTACTGAAAGGGTTAGTAAAAACATTCTTCATTCATGAATATATTTTTTAACTACATAATTTCAGTTTTAATATGTCATTGAATTCTTTTTATTTAGGGTCAGCAGTCAGACAGGTGCTCAGTCACAATTGTTACCAGAACAAATGACTCCAGTCAGGTATGTTTTATTGTCATTAGTGTTGACACACTTGTTCTCATTAAGGGCCTCAGTAAATCTTCAGTCTCCTCATCCTTCTCCTTCTTCTTTGTCTTCTCCTTCATTTTCTTGGGTGAAACAATGGGGCCAGTAACAGTCTGATTGTATGTCTGGTTGCCTTTTCCCTGTGTGTTGAGCATAGGCCAGATCCTCTGGTCAGTCTCGGCTGCAACATTCTCTTCAGACTAATCTGTTTGTGCCTCACTTACTTCCAAAGGGCCTTGATACCATATAAATTGCCATGCATCAATTTACTATCAGTCTGTCTGTCTTCTTGTTTGTTTCCCAACTCACTTGCCTGCCCTGAGAAAATATCCAAAGGTCACCGGTTACCTGAGATGAGAGGAATCAACAGTCTGCTTACATGAAAGTTCTTCAACAAGACTTAAGTCCAGAAGTGGATGAATGATCAGAACTTTCAACCGGAGTTTAAGTGGATGAATGATCAGAACTTTCTGCCTGAGTTTAAGTGGATGAATGATCAGAACTTTCTGCCTGAGTTCAAGTGGATGAATGATCAGAACTTTCGACCGGAGTTTAAGTGGATGAATGATCAGAACTTTCAACCGAAGTTTACAGCTGCTGAATGTGAAGATGATGAAGAAGATTTCTTTTGCCGTTAAGAGTCCCGCATTAGATTACCGTTCTGGCAATAAAATAAAATGGCAGTAGCGATGCTAACGCTGTGTGTTGAGCCGAGAACTGACATCACAGCATTCAGGATACTCCCTTAAACACACCATCCTCATTTCTAGCAGCCAGTAAAGAGTTCCAGTTCTGATGGTGACAGTTGATGCTGAAGTTTAGCTATGAGAAGAGGGGACGACATACATCCTAAACAAGGCCCTGACCTATATCTCTCTCTCTCTCTCTTTTTTTTTTTTAAATGTCTGTCAGTAATCGTCTTTTCATTTCTGGTCTTTTCCATGTGGGTTTCGCTGCCTCTTTGTTGCGAGAAAAAACCCCCAGAAAAGTCCCACTGACTGTCCAACAAGCATCTCGTACGAGTCAACTAATTAGAGTTTTTCTTCAAAGTCGGAGTGCATCTGCTTGAGATTTAATGAACCAACAGTCTGCATACAAATAAGCCAGATCTGTACAATGGATGTGCACGCAAAACTCACGGCCTGTAAAGAATCAGAAGTCTAGAATTGGATGAACAACTAGAACTTTCAGCCAGAAAATGCAACAGGTGAACGCCAAGAAAAAAAAAAAGGAATTCCCAGTCGCTGCAGAATCACTTAATTTGTTTTGTTCTCTTATTGAAGGATGATTCAGGGCTGCCTGTGACACTTTTGCTACGGTCTGTTTTCTCAACAGGGTGGTTGTTAGCACAGTTCAACAGTTGCAGGAGAACTTTGCCAGGTGTCCTGAGGAGCCAAGCGAGAAGCTGAAGACGTATTTCCAGGTACATTGTGTGTCTTACAAAGAAAGATACAACATGCATTGGAAAGGCGTCAGTAGCTTTTAATGGCCTGAACAAATTATGGAATTCTAAACTGTATAGTTTTAAAACCAAGTTACGTACTTTGACTTCTAATATTATTTCAGTTTTACCATGCCATTGAAAGCTGGAGAATCACTGAAGACATAGAAGAAGAATTAAATGCATTTAAAAAAAGGATTGAGGAAAATGATGAAAATTAAATAGGAGGATTTCAAAAGAAGTGAAGAAATGTCTGAGCAATGACTGAAGTCCAAAGTTATAGGACAGAGAAGATAGAAATATATTCCACGCATCCTGAAAATAAATGAGCAGACAAACACTAAACAGACATTACCATCGGAGATAACTGGATTAAGGAGGTGAGGACGTAAAAAAAAAGATCGTTAAAATGAACTTTTGATGTGGGGCCAAAACTGCTGAACTCCAGCATCTTTTCTTTATCTTTAGATTCACTGGAGTGTATTGAACTTTCTTCCAGTTCTACATTAGTGACTCTATCATTTATTTAATTCTGCACAGTAACTAGTTAATAAATACTTGCAGTTTATAAGAATTATTTTATTTCTTCTCCATGTTTCAGCTGCATATAGCAGTACTCCTCCATCTTCTTCTTGTTTACCTGCTGTAAACTCCTGCGGAAAGTTCTGGTTGTTCATCCACCTATGGACTTTAGACTTGTTCCAGAACCTGAGTGTTGCCTGCACATCCGTTTTACAGATCTGACTTATTTGTGTGTAGACTATTAGTTCCTTACCTGTCAGGCAGATGTACTCTGACTTTGAAGGAAGTCTCCAATTAGTCAACTCTTAGGACATGCTTGTTGAGGAAACATTGGGTCTATTCTTGTTTTTCCCACAATAGGGCCCTGGAAGCCACACGGAGAATAGCAGCACTTCTTTGACAACTGAGCTAAACATTTTTGTTTAGTATTAGTCACGACAATGAAATGTTTACATACCATGCTAGGTGTAACAAGGAAATATCGACTTAGGAACGATGATATGACGAGGAGAATCAGCACAGAACCAACACCACTTTATAGGTAGACAACAAATCAAATGATTTGGCCATATAACAAGATTGGCAGCAGACAGGGCACCACAGAGAGCAACGTTATACAGATACAACGATAACAGACCCAGAGGTCGACCGCGCAGAAGATGAGTTGAGTTGAGTCAAGAATTTACATCAAAGCACTCAGGGCATTCCCATGCATCCACATAGAAGATGGACGGCAGAAATATCAGAGACACTGAAAAGTACTATATACTGTATACGAAGCGAACAAATGGCCCGTTCTAGAGATCTCTTCCTCTCATGATGCCGTGAGGAATTCCAGGAGTAGAGAAAAGAAGTATTAGTTTTAATTTACTTTGACTTCCACACAGTTCCCTGGCTGTGAAACTGTTACTATGGAACTTTAAATCTCATTAAAATTCTGAACTGGAAAAGATTATCATGAAATTATATTTTTACTATTTATTTTATAAATGGTGTTTTTTTTTTTAAATCAGAGATGCGTTCAAGACCCCAGCGAGGATATTAAAGATATGATTGCCAGTTTGAAAGAAAACTTTGTCCTGCGGTATCAGGCCAACAGTAGTGCAATCGGCCAACAGAAAGTGGCAGAACTACGTTTTACACTTGGCCTGAAACTGTATTTTAAAGTTCTGGAGGCAATGATGGACAGTGTAAGTTGTTTCCCTTTCTTAAAAAATTTTTTTTAATGTATTGTTGCTAAAGACAATTTACCACACATAACATTTCCAGAATTTTTTTTAATGGATTACTTTATGTTGTATTTTTTAAATCTGGACAGCAAGGGGTGAATATTATATATTCTAGTTGAAACTCTAAAATGGAAGCCAAAAAAAACTATGTCATGGATTTTAAAAAAAAGCCTTTAAACTGAAATGCTACAAAAAAATTCTTTGAATATCAGGGACAAAAAAAAAAACAAAAAAACGGACATCCTACATGATCTCAGCGTGGACAAGAATTGACTCATAAACAGCCTCCTGTCCTGAAAGCTGAAGTATTTAGGCCATGTTAACTCTTTGAGTCCCAAGGAATGCATCATAAGTTCCTACCTAGAAGCCCAAAGAACGCATGATGCACCGATTTTATGACTCTCTTTACTACCCCCCTGGGCCTGTGATGCTAAACCCCCTGGGACTCAAAAGAGTTAAAAGTCATGGTGGCCTGGAGAGAGCGGTAGTGGGGGCACAGTTTCCAGAAAATAAGGTAGATGCTGACCTCCATGAAGGTGGATACAAGGCATTAAGACAAGTGGCATTGGCTATGAAAGCCCTTATTGCTAGAGAAAGAGACTTTTAGACATACCGTGACGAGAGACTTTTAGGCATACCATGACGAGAGACTTTCAGGTATACCGCGACGAGAGACTTTCAGGCATACCGTGACGAGAGACTTTCAGGCATACCTTGACGAGAGGCTTTCAGGCATACCGTGACGAGAGGCTTTCAGGCATACCGTGACGAGAGACTTTCAGGCATACCGTGACGAGAGACTTTCAGGCATACCGTCACGAGAGACTTTCAGGCATACCGTGACGAGAGACTTTCAGGCATACCGTGACGAGAGGACCTGCTCATTAATGGTGATGATGATGATATTGTGCAGCCCTCTGAATCAGTGGGTCACATGTGGTGGAACATATTTAAGGGGACCATCATCATCATCATCATGTAGCAGGTCCTTTGCAGAACGTCGCTCTTACCACGGTCTGCCTGATAGAAACTCGGTCTTTCACCAGTTCTCCTGCCTCATGTACTTTCATACTCAAGGAGTCACTTATATCCTGTGCCCATCTTCGTGTTAGTTGGCCCCTGCCCCTCCTTCCCGGTACCACGCCTTCTGCTATAAGTTTTTCCAATCCGTCGTGGACCTTGATATAGCCAAAATATTTCAGCTTCCCAGACAGGATGCTGTTTATTAGCCAATCTTCCTTGATGTTCAGATCTTTCAAGATGTCAGTATTTCTCCTCTTCTTTGTCCAAGATATTCTGAGAATCTTTCTATAGCATTTCAGCTCAAAAGCCCCTATTCTCTTTCTTAAGGACTGAGAGATAGTCCACGACTCACATCCGTATGTAGCCACAGGGAAGATGCATGCTCTCAAAATTCTAATTTGTATCTCCTTGCTGGTGCTTAACCATAGACTTTTAAGGCTGTTCAATCTTTGCATTGCATTTAAGGGAACCATGATGGGGGACCTTCAACTTTTTTTAAAAATAATTTTTATAAATTCGTAATTCTTGGTCATTAAATATCTGGGAGCAGTCATATCATCAGATGGAAAATGTGTGACAGAAATTAAAAGCAGAATAGGTCAAGCAAAAGCTGCATTTCAGAAAATGAAAAATATCTTATGCAATAAGTCGCTCTCATTTAATGTCCGAAAGAGGGTGCTAAAATGTTACATAGAACCTGTTCTGCTGTGCGGCAGCGAATCTTGGAATGTCAGTGAACAAATTAGGAAGAATTTGAAAGCAACAGAGATGTGGTTTCGGAGACGAATGTTACGAATACCTTGGACGGCCAGAGTAACTAACAACGATTGCTTGAAAGAAGCTATTGAAAGTAGATCTCTATATACAACAATAAGAAAAAGACACACACTGTTCTTTGGCTACCTAATGAGAAGAGAGACATTGGAGAACATCGTGACAACTGGAAAGATCAATGGAAAAAGGGATAGAGGCAGACCAAGAGAGAGACGATGCTGGATAGGCTGAAACGATGATATGGAGGGATATCAAGAGAGCTGTTCCAGGCAACCAGAGATCGTGATCTGTGGAGACGCATGAACGCCTACGCCAGTTGGCAGGGCACATGATGATAATGGTCATTCTGAAATAGATGTAAGCTGTTTTTTTTTTATACGACATAAAAAGTATGTGGTCTGTGGCAGACATTTCAAAATTAAGGGGAAGTATGTATGTGGGTCTCATCTCATTGGGTCCTATTTAATTGGGTCTTATCTAATCAGGTTTTATTTGATTGGGTCTTATCTGTTTGAGTATTATTTAAATGGGTCATCTTATTGGGTCGTGTCTAATTTGGTCATCTAATTGGATCTTTTCTAACTGGGTCATATCTAACTGGGTCTTATCTAATGAATTATGTTAATATTTCTCCTGCCAGGAGGGTGAAAGACTTTCCCAGCAAGTGCTAAACACTTTACTGAACAAAGAGAATTTCCACAAGTCCTTACTGGCATGTGCAATGGAAGTTGTACTTACTACATATGGGCAGAGCTGTAAGTGCATTGTCTTTTTTTTTTTCCTCTCAAACTTGTGTTGCCTGTTTGTGTTGTTATTATTATTATGGGTGGTGGTGGCTTGTGGGTAGGCACTGTAGTACTGCAGCTTCTTATACGCATGCATACAGCAGCCAAACAGCCTGTTCAATCTATTGGACGTATGAGCATGCATACAGCAGCCAGACAGCCTGTTCAACCTATTGGACATATGAGCATGCATACAGCAACCAGACAGCCTGTTCAACCTATTGGACGTATGAGCATGCATACAGCAACCAGACAGCCTGTTCAACCTATTGGACGTATGAGCATGCAAACAGCAACCAGACAGCCTGTTCAATCTATTGGACGTATGAGCATGCATACAGCAGCCAGACAGCCTGTTCAATCTATTGGACGTATGAGCATGCATACATCAACCAAACAGCCTGTTCAATCTATTGGACGTATGAGCATGCATACAGCAACCAGACAGCCTGTTCAATCTATTGGACGTATGAGCATGCATACAGCAACCAGACAGCCTGTTCAATCTATTGGACGTATGAACATGCATACAGCAACCAGACAGCCTGTTCAACCTATTGGATGTATGAGCATGCATACAGCAGACAGCCTGTTCAACCTATTGGACATATGAGCATGCATACAGCAACCAGACAGCCTGTTCAACCTATTGGACATATGAGCATGCATACAGCAACCAGACAGCCTGTTCGATCTATTGGACGTATGAGCAAGCATACAGCAACCAGACAGCCTGTTCGATCTATTGGACGTATGAGCAAGCATACAGCAGCCAGACAGCCTGTTCAATCTATTGGACGTATGAGCATGCATACAGCAACCAAACAGCCTGTTTAATCTATTGGACATATGTCTGAGATAGGAAGCTGCAATTCTGCAGTACCTACCCACAAACGGTCATTGGTAAATGGTGTTTACAGGCAAGCAGGTCAACTTCATTTTGCCAGTTTTTATCCTATATATCTCTTCCTGCAAAGCCCACAAGAGTTGCACAAAGCACTAATCCTGTAGCTTCAGAAACAATACCTCACAACCCTGAAACACCTGCATTCAGAAAATGAAGGATGGAGTTCACAGTTAAACCCATGGCATTCTGAGGGAAACCAAGCTTTTGGGATCAGGGCAGGACATGAATTCCAACACAACCTTCATAGGGCAATGTGGTCTTCTCATATTAAAACCTGTAGCAGGGAGAACAAAGAATATAGGAAGTCTCCAGGTACTGGCGATTCGATTCAGTCTGCTGACAATGAGAGTTTTGCTGATTTAAAAACTGACATCATGGCACATAGATGTTGACTTTCCCCACTTTTCGTCCTAAGATGTAGGTCCTAAATGTTCCTGTAGCAAACTGATTATAAACTTGTTGTTCTCTTCCTGTCGTCCGTCCCTCCTTGTCTGATCCACACCCAGTTTCTCATTCACATATTCTTACACTTGTTATTTCATCTCACCTCCGGTCTTCTGTCAACATTTGTTCATGTCTTCAGAATGTCTTGTTTGTCCATGAAGGGTGTTCTTATAAATATTCCTCACCCTTTGACCCTGCATCTTCTTCTGGGGCCTTTCATCTCCCACCGGAGCAGAGGCCCTCATCTAACTCAGGACTTAATTATCTGAAGTGATGAAGCAATAGAGGACGTTAAAGAATTTATAAACCTCGGAAGTAAAGTTACTCCAGATGGAGATTCTGAAAAGGATGTAACACTAAGAATAAACAAAGCAAATCAAGCGTTTTCAATGCATAACAATATAAGGAAGTCAAAGGGATTTAGTTTGAAGATGAAACTCAGAATATACATGAGCAACATTTTAGGAATGCTATTATACAACAGTGAATGTTGGAAAATGACAGCTTGAATTTACACATAAACTTGAGATTTGTCAAAATAAATGTTTAAGGAGAAATCTACGAATATTTTGGCTAAACAAGATCACAAATTAAGAACTGAGGAGGAAAACAGAATGTGGGCTATGGATTGGACATATTTGCAAAATGTCTTGTGACACTGGCAAATACAGCTCTCCGGTAGACAGCAGCTGGGGAAAAAGAGGGGTGGATGACTTAAGGAAACCTGGAGAAGGACAGTAGAATGGGAAATGAAGGAATGTAAACTGACATGGGATACCGTGGGCAGAAAAGCAGCAGACCGGCAGCAATGGAGATCACTTGTGAATGCCTTATGTGTCAAGAGCGACATGAAGAGGATATATGCCCATATCTAACTCAAGACATGATGGCTGTTCTAGACTCACTCAGGGGGGGTTGGAAGGAATTGACTCACTTTCCCCTAACAAGCATTTCATATGTGAGGTTACTGATTAGGGCTGTTGTTTTCTAAATCTGGGTGCCGGCTTCTGCCTGAGAGGCCAGCCATCAACAGTCTGCATACAAGTGAACCAGATCTACAAAATTGATGTGTACACACAAATCAAGTTCTACAACAAGACCATAGTCCCGAAGTGGACAAACAACCAAATCTTTCCACCAGAATTTACAGCTCGGAATAACTAAGAAGAAGAAGTCCTGATTATTAAATAAATGGTGAGGAATGACTTATATGTGTCCTATTTTTGACCTCCAGGGAGCCACAGTTTGGGTGAGATGTCTTCTGAAGGAGCTGCCTTTTCCTTCCCCTGGATCTTGAGTGTCTTTTCTCTGCAGGCTTTTGAATTCTATAAAGTTGTGGAGAGTTTTATCAGATCTGAACCCAGGTTACCTGCAGATGTTGTGAAGGTAATGAACCATTTCAGTTAATTTTATGTTAGGAAAGTAACTTTAAATTGAACAATTTATGTATAGATCAGCGGTTCTTAACCTGTCGATTGCGATCCTTTCACAGGGGTCGCCTAAGACTGTAAAAAAAAAAACATTCATTGAAGTTATGAAGAAAATAATTGTTTGGGGGTCGCCACAACATTAGGGAACTGATTTAAAGGGTCACGGTGTTGGGTAGGTTGAGAGCCACTGGTGTAGATTTTCTGAAAGAATAGGTAATTGTTTTAATTTACGGCAGACATTGTAAAGGATAATCTGTTTCACTGATCTGCAGATGTTAAGGAGAAATAAAAATCCTAACAGGGATTTGAACCTGGGGCTCACACACGAGAGCTGAGTGTTCTGACCACTCTGCCAGCTGTTCCTTTATCTTGTTTTTTGTTGTCTCAGAGTATCAGTGACTGCTTCAGTCTATCTTCTTCTTGGTCGTTTCCTGCCTCTTTGTAGAGTATAGTAGTAATAATTTAATCAGTAGTATCCTGTTCAACCCATCAAGTTTAAAAGTTTTTCTGTTTTGGTAATGAATATTTATCCTTGTCAGTTGTTTTTGGTTATTTAATATATGCTAATCTCTATTCTTATGACATACTGTTTAGTCCTTTGTCTTTGTTTGCATCATTAGATTCATTCTTTTTTTAAAGCCCAAACCATTTTAGTAGTCTTTGTTTTTCTAAAAAATTAATTAAATATGTTGTTCCAATAGTTCTTCATCTTGATTAGTTAGTTGTGTGTCCATCACACGATGTTGCAAAACCGACCCCAGCATATTTTTTTTGGCAGTTGTGGTTTTCTAGGCACACTTTACTCAAAACCAGTGCAAAGTGGTCTGCTGCCAAATCACCTGCAGTTGGGATTGAACCTGGCATCCAGCATTATGAAGTGCATTCACAACACATAAGCCACAGACACAGTCATCTTGATTAATAATTATAAAATATACATCTTGATAAATATGTTACACAGTTATCTTAATGGATGATAAATTGTCTTGTTGACAAATGAATATTTTCAGCACTTGCAAAATGTGGAAATACAGATTCTAGACAGTTTGGCTTGGCACGAGGTATGACATATTTCACTGTATAGTAAAACAAAATCTCTCGTCAGCTCTGATACACTTACATATCCAAGAAGTCACTTATATCCTGTGCTCATACTCCTGCAAGTCAATCCCTGCCTTTCCTGCTTGGTACCACAAATACGAACATATAGTTTGTAAATAAACAATGTAAAAAGTAGCTAGATCAGAAATTGTCTATGAAATGTGCCATCTCCGTAAGGTCACTAACAACACATAAAGGGGCAGGGTTACGAATACCAGCATTAGAATGAACGTTGTAACAAGACTGTCAGAATTATTTTGACAGAAAATAATTAAATAGTTCGGCCATCTAGTGAGAATGCAGCGAGACCAAACGTGAGTTTTTGTGTGTGTTCAGAACATCTGGGAAAAAGATGAGGGAAAGACCAAGAATTTGTTGAAAAATGATGCAGATGAAACCTGCAAAACAGATTAACAAATGCATCACCCAAGTCAGACGAGAATTGCAAGGCAGATACAGAAAAGCACCACACTTGGCGAAAACCTGGTATCAGTGAGATGACAACAGAAGAAGAATCATTCGGTATTTGAATTGAAAATGCAATGGATGCTATATGTCTCAAAAATGTCTAATGGACTATGGGTTCCACATATATTCCTGAAGCCTGAATTATATATTATTATATATATAAATAATTATTTAAGTAAAACTACAACTAAGTTTACTACAGCAACTACTAGAGAATCCCCATAGCTGTTTATATCTCTTCAGATTAACATCTGACATTTTTGTGTTTTATATTATGGCCTGATGTTCAACAGATTAGAGAAACTAGGCAGAGACAGTCAGTATTTTCTCGGACAAGTTATGAGAAGAAATTGACAACTTGCTAGCGACTTTATCCTTTGGATGTTTTCTCCATGTTATGCCGGTGTGTTGGGAAATGAGCAGGCAGAAGGACTGGCCGGCTCTGCACCACTTGGTGGTGAATTAATGTATGATAAGCTAGTTATTGTGAAGGCCCTTTGTGAACAAGTAAACAGTAAGGATACGCATATAGATCTTTGTGGTCTGAGGAGAATGGTGCTGCGAGGAATTACCAGGAAATATAGCTGACGCTCAACACTCAGGCTAAGGATGAGACGGATATACAGTTAGACGGCTACTGGTGCCATCAGAATTGAAACTCTTCGCTTGCTGCTGAAGATGGGGATAGAGCACTTATGGGAATGTCCAGAGTGCTGTGATGTTGATTCTCAGTTCACCATTCAACATTCTAGCGACTGGCATGACTGATGAAAAAAAAGAGCAAGGGTTAATTTATTGGGTTTTCACTGGCCAGGGAATAGAGCAATAATGGGGTGGCTCTTTGTGATTAAGTTGGAACCTTGCCTGATAGTCTGATGCTCTCAAATACTTACAGCCCTTCACTTCCAGGTCGACCCAGCTTTAGATGGATAACTGGTAAAGTCCTGGTTAAGGGTGACCAGCGCGATGCTGACCACATCAGCCACTGAGTGCAGGTTGGTCTTTGAAAGATAGGTCTAGCCCTGTTTACCCCGAACACCTGAAAGTGTGGAAGAAGATCCTTTACCTTTGACATAACGTGCCTTCTTGTACAATTGTTTTGTTTACAGACATCATCTCTGTTTGAAGTGATCGGTGACTGTGATTCAGGCCAGATGACTCCGCCCATGCTGGCTTCACCAATGAAAATATCTGACGGAATGAACAGCAGTCCTCTTGGCGTCATTGGAAACAGCAGAAGTGCAGTGGATTTGTAAGAAATCAGAATGTTTCTTGTGTGTAGATGTGATGTAGGTTTAAATATTGAAGTATGTCCTGCAACAATGATATTCTTTTGCTACATAAGAAGAGCAGTGATATGTAAAGAAAAATAGATGATTTAGCAAAAGTTGCATCACGATTTGGACTACAAATAAATTATGAGACAAATACAGTGAATAACAGATGAAGCAGAGACCACTCTAGTGACATTAGAGACCATTCTAGTGACATTAGAGACCACTCTAGTGACATTAGAGACCACTCTAGTGAGATTAGAGACCACTCTAGTGAGATTAGAGACCATTCTAGTGACATTAGAGACCGCTCTAGTGACATTAGAGACCACTCTAGTGACATTAGAGACCACTCTAGTGAGATTAGAGACCACTCTAGTGAGATTAGAGACCATTCTAAAGACATTAAAGACCACTATAGTGACATTAGAGACCATTCTAGTGACATTAGAGACCATTCTAGTGACATTAGAGACCACTCTAGTGACATTAGAGACCACTCTAGTGAGATTAGAGACCATTCTAGTGACATTAGAGACCACTCTAGTGAGATTAGAGACCACTCTAGTGAGATTAGAGACCACTCTAGTGAGATTAGAGACCACTCTTGTGACATTAGAGACCACTCTTGTGACATTAGAGACCACTCTAGTGACATTAGAGACCACTCTAGTGAGATTAGAGACCATTCTAGTGACATTAGAGACCACTCTAGTGACATTAGAGACCACTCTAGTGACATTAGAGACCACTCTAGTGAGATTAGAGACCACTCTAGTGACATTAGAGACCACTCTAGTGACATTAGAGACCACTCTGTGACATTAGAGACCACTCTAGTGAGATTAGAGACCACTCTAGTGACATTAGAGACCACTCTAGTGACATTAGAGACCACTCTAGTGACATTAGAGATCACTCTAGTGACATTAGAGACCACTCTAGTGACATAAGAGACCACTCTAGTGACATTAGAGACCACTCTAGTGACATTGGAGACCACTCTAGTGACATTGGAGACCACTCTAGTGACATTGGAGACCACTCTAGTGACATTAGGGACCACTCTAGTGACATTAGAGACCAAAAACAATGAAAGTAACAGATCGTTTTACTTATTCAGGTAGTGATGTTGACACTCAAGGAAACACGGAGAAACAACAAATTGCACTCATTGGCAAGGCACCAGTAGCTTTTATAAGCTCCAACAAAATAAAGCTTTAGAACCAAGTTTACGTATTTTCAGTTTTAATGATATTTCGGTCAACATGTGCCAGCCCTGACATATAATGGTATAAGAAAGCAATGAATAAATCAATGATTTGCAGCATTGACCAGACTGCAAGAATATCAATTCAGAAGGGGAAAATAGACAAGAAATTACGCAAGAAAAAGAAAAGTAAAACAACACAAAACTGATGATGTCAGTCACTGTATGCTGACGAGAGGATGTAGATACATGTGGACTTAATAATTCAGCGTCCATAGTTTTTAGTGTACAGACTTTCTCCTCAAGTAATAAACAAGGGTCATTGGATAACTGCATTTTCATTATAAACAGTATATTTATGTCATTAATAATGTCATGGAGTGACTGTCTCCCTTTCTCACACATTTTTTTTTCTAAGTAAGAGATGTACGGTGTTCTTTTGGTGTTCTGTAAGAGAGAAGGAGTTTCGGATAATATTACAAAGGTTGACGAATCGGCACTAAACAGGGCAGATGTAGGTCTAGAGAATTGAACACCTACGGCATCTGGCAGGACACATGATAGTGATAATATTGTTGTTGGTACCTCTGCATGTTTCTAGATGACAATGTTATATTGCGCTTTGAGAAGGCATGGGGCTCACAGTCCATAGCGATGCTGAGTGTGACTAGCAAGATTATGGGGTCTCCCTTTTGCTTGAAGTTTTTACTTAATGCTGTTAAATATTCAAATAACTCTACTTCCCTATGTGGTTTCTGGGAGCCATTTGTGTGTAAAACAAGAATAGACTCACTGCCTACTCAAAAGCATGTCATAGGAGTAGACTAATTGGGGGCTGCTTTCAAAGTCGGAGTGCATCTGCCTTAGAGGCAAGGCACCATCAGTCTGCATATACATACATGTCAGATCTATCAAACGGATGTACATGTAACACTCAGGCTGCGGAACAAGAGTAAAGTCTGCAGTGGATAAGCAACTAGAACTCTCTGCTGGAGTTTACAGCCGGTTAATGCAAAGAAAAAGAAGGACAATTGTTCTCGCCTTTATATTCACTTGAAGGTTTTCTTCACCGCTCCGGCCGTCTCAGATGTCAGCTGGCTCCTTATTTTCACAATCTCATACTGGACCTGCGGCGCCACCTTTCCAGCCACAGCTGCAGTTGCCGTCCACAGACCCTTCCACCAGTGATGCCAGGGTCTCTTGCCCACCAAGGTCACAATCACTGTCACATTTTCTTAAGAGAGGTACGAAACTAAAATTTCAACGAATTTTTTGTTTGTTTGTTTAACATTGTTGCCCTGAGAAGCTGAAAACAAGAAATTTTCAGTTGCCCGTAAAAGTCAATGTACTGACTTGCTATGGTGGCATGTTCATTAGAGCTGAGTTGATTCACGAACCCACTTATCAGCGCTTGGGGCAGCCGCTTAAGTGCTCCATTTTTGTATATATTTGTTCTATCTGAAATTTGATGTGTTTCACAAAAATGGTCATAAAATCCAAAATATTTAGATTAATTGTCTCAAATAAAAACTAGCTCATGCATAATTGAATACAGAAGCAGTGGGAATTTGTTAGAAATGGATAGCAATGTTGCTGATAAAGTGAAAACTTAAATAAGTACACAACTTTATGTGTCAAAAATCTTTGTGTTTCTAACATCCTTGAATGTGGTATCATTTTAATATTTTTTTCTTACAGCACTGTTCCTTAAATAGTTTAGATATATTCTGTATTTTTCTTTGATTCACTATATTATGTGTCCCTAAACAACTAAAACTTTTCTTCAGAAAAGTTTTAACTTTGTCATGTAGCAGAAAAAGAAAAAAAAATTCAGCTGAAAATTAATTATGTCCAAACCCCAGAAAAAAATGCCACCCAGATAGAGTCAAAAAGTACGTTGTAGACGGTGGGAAAAAACCCCCAACTAATGAAGTCGAAAAGGTCAAGGACCCTTCTTTATACCAGTGGTGAATCGAGCATATGGTGCTAAACTCATAGTTTGTTTTGTTTTATAGACCAATCAGTGCTTGGTTTATGATGTGGTCAGCATCACGCCGGCCACCTTTACTTCCCAGGACTTTAGACCTGATACCCATTTTAGACTTGTCAGCTTCTGAGCTGTCATATTTAAAATAAATCTGATTTGTTTTTAAAGACCTGCGGCTCCCAAACTAATTAACAGTGACTGAAATCAGATGTGTTGTGCCAAAAGGCGCAGATATTGCATCCTAGCTGTAAACCACAACACAAAACTGCAGCCAGCCACCCTATTTTAGAAGAATTTATATATACTGTTAAAGAAGTGGTATTTGTGGAGAGTCAAGATCACCAATGCCAGTCGACATTGTATTAGGCACCAGTGATGATGAATGGTTATTTTCTTTTCAGTTCTGTATTTGGGATATTCAAGGCTGAATAAACTATGTGACTACCTGAAAGTGTCAAAAGATCTTGTAAGTTTAAAAAATGTTTATTCAGTCTGACAGATATTACTTTTTTTTCCCCAGTCAGTACACCATATACATTGTGTGATTGGATACTCTGCCTTCAGTCAGTTAACATACTGTTTGTGATTGGATATCTTCCTTCAGTCAATTAACATACTGTTTTTGATTGGAAATTCTTCCTTCAGCCAATTAACATACTGTTTGTGATTGGATATTTTTCCTTCAGTCAATTAACAAACTGTTTGTGATTAGATATTCTTCCTTCAGTCAATTAACATACTGTTTGTGATTGGATATTTTTCATTCATTCAATTAACAAACTGTTTGTGATTGGATATCCTTCCTTCAGTCAGTTAACATACTGTTTGTGATTGGTAAATCTTCATATGTGCCATTTAAATTTTTCTATTATTATATGAATGTTTTGTACAATACGAGTACTGAAATGTTATATCAAACCTGTTCTCTTGTATGGCAGTGAATCCCGGAATGTGAGCAAACAAATAAAGAAAGGTTTGGAGACAACTGAGATGTGGTTCTTGTGAAGAATGTTGCAATTACCTTGAACTGCCAGAATAACTAACAATGATTGCGTGGAAATGGCTAATGATAGTAGAACATTATATACAACAGTGAGAAGGAGACAAAGTCCTTTGGTCATGTAAAGAGAAAAGGAGCCCTGGAAAATGTGATGACTGGAAAGATCACTGGTAGAAGAGGCAAAGGCAGATCAAGAGAAATGATGGTGGATAGATCAAGACAGTGGCATGGAGGAATGTTATTAGTAGAATTGATCCAGATAATGATGATCATGATTGTACAATAAAGGTAATGAATTTATGAGTGAATGAATCAAGAATTAACATCATTGCACGAGACATTCCTACACATGCTCCATCTCCTTCCTCAGTAGCCAGCGAAGTTGTATAAGATGCAACCCTATTAAAAGTCTGCCCATGTTTCCCCCTCTGTTGAATATCTTCCAGAACTTCTACTCGCCTCCCTTTGAATAACTCTTTCAGTGTATGGATTCTCTGAGTTCTGTTGCACTGTCCATTTGATCTCTGAAGGCCTTCACCAGTCTGCTTTATCATAAAGTAGCTCACTTCCCAGAGGAGTGGCAGCAGCCAGTCTATCAGCTTGCTCATTACCCTGAACACCCGCATATCCTGGAAAGAAAGTCGGGGATATGCTCCTGATCTGATTATTATCAAGAGGCAAGCCATTCTCCGTGTAGAACGCTGGTTTCAATTTTCCGAAGAAACGAGCAGAATATAATAAAAAAAAGAAAAAAGTGCCACATAACACACCATGTTTGACTAGATGTTACTGATATCTGCCAATCTACGTACTATGTATGTTTGTACATCTTACTATAGCACTGGGACAACGTGTGTTTCCTATAGAGGCTGTAAATGTGGTCTAGTTCAATATTGAACGTCTTTGATTTTGGTCTTGTCCTTATTGCCTCCCTCAGGCATCAGCTAGGACTTTCAGAAGTATATTTTTAATTTTTTTAATTTACCAAAAATAAATAATAAAGCAGTTTAAAAAGAATTGTTGCATTTAAGATCAAAATTAAACTCACAAATTATTTTAATATTTTGTTTTTGTAGCAACACAAAATATGGACTTGTTTTGAGTATTGTATTATCAAAACACCAGCCTTGCTGAAAAACAGACATGTTGACCAGGTAATAACTCAGTGTTTTTATTTTTCTCTAATTGTTGACATTTGTTGAGTTAAACCATTTTTGTTGGTGTATAAGATGCTCCTTTGTATGACGCACCACAGAAAATTGAAATTTTTCAGAAAATCAACATTCAGTATCGTGTGATGATCTCTCTCTCTCTCTCTCTCTCTCTCTCTCTCTCTCTCTCTCTCTCTCTCTCTCTCTCTCTCTCTCTCTCTCTCTCTCTCTCTCTCTCTCTCTCTCTCTCTCTCTCTCTCTCTCTCTCTCTCTCTCTCTCTCTCTCTCTCTCTCTCTCCTCTCTCTCTCCCTCTCTCTCCCTCTCCCTCTCTCTCCCTCTCCCTCTCTCTCTCCCTCTCCCCTCTCCCTCTCTCTCTCTCTCTCCCTCCCTCTCCCTCTCTCTCCCTCTCCCCCTCTCTCTCTCTCTCTCCCTCTCCCTCTCCCTCTCTCTCTCTCTCTCTCTCTCTCTCTCTCTCTCTCTCTCTCTCTCTCTCTCTCTCTCTCTCTCTCTCTCTCTCTCTCTCTCTCTCTCTCTCTCTCTCTCTCTCTCTCTCTACCATTACAAACAGAAGAGTTGATGCAAAAACCACTCTGAAAGGATGAAATACCACCTACAAAAAATTACTGTTCTCCTCTCTTGCCTCATTCATAGATCACATTGTATCGCTGGAACGCAAAACTTTCCAGGATCTTGTAAGTCAAAAACTAGAGTAAGGGCAACTGAAAAATAACGGTACATGTAAGACTATGTTTTTCCTATAAGACGCAGCCTTGAGAACAAAAACAATGCATCTTATCACCAATAAATATGATCTTTTCTTGCAATTAAGATTGACATTTCAAATCCATAAACTCATTGGCCAAGTATGAAATAAATTATCTTAGCACTTACAGCTTTGATAATTGAGTCATCCTCTGATGTCTGATATTGGAGGTAATGGACTCACTAATTTAAATTTGAAAATAACATCTATTATTATCAAAGCAATGTTTCCCTGTTGTAAATTTGAACAAAGAAGACACAGACAATAGATTGCACAATTTATTGCCTGGCATATTTCACTGCATCATGGGGAAAACGGATGTGCACGCAACACTTAGATTCTGAAGCAAGACTAAAGTCCAGTGGTGGACGAATGTCTGGAACTTTCTGCCAGATTTTTCAGCTGGTAAACATTAAGAAGAAGATATGAGATCTTTTTGTGTGTAGCACCTGTGTTGGTAGTTGTTCTGGCTACATTCAAATGAGATGAATAAAATATTTAGCACACAGATTTAAAAAAAACCTGTCAGCCTTTGCCTTTTTTCCACCCCAGATCATCATGTGTTGTATTTATGGAATCTGTAAAGTAGTGGACCAGGAGATTCGCTTCAAATCCATCGTCAGTGAGTACAGAAACCTGCCACATGCTAAACAGGAGGTAAGACAATTTGTTTGTCTGTCAGTTTTATACAGCACTTAGGACATGCTTCAAACTCAGTGTTTTACAGTGTATACAGAATGTAGGTCTGTGTCTCTTCCTGTTTCTCTGTCCTTCCATCCACCTATCATTCTTTTCATCTTCTTCTGCTGTTTCATCCTTTTCATCAAGTGTTGCTGGCACATTGTGTTGTGGTTTTCATCTAGGCTGTGATATTTGCATCATTAGGCCTAACATATCCAATTACAGCAAAATCATAAAACTGGGGAAAAAACTGTCACTGCTGTCTATTTCACCACTTTTTAGGGCGGTGTCGTCAGGGAAACGTGAGCCTGGAGATCTAGGTTCCGCACAGCTGGTGTAACAGAGTCACCAGTAGTCAATTTTTATGAGAATAAACAGTGGGTCATTTATTTCCCCCCAAAATGGGGCCCTGCAAGCCTGCCTCATGTGGACTTGAACCTGAGACAGTCAAGCTATTAGTTAAGCATCCAGTCGCTATGATCCCCTGGCTCATAGGCACATGGTTATGATAATAATTTTGTTCAGCAACCAAATTCTCTAAATGGAGAGTGAGAGGCAACAGTGAAATTCATAAGTGGCATACGTAGATTCATAAGTAGACCATACCCCTATATGACTTCACGCACAACTGAGGGATCAAATATCAAGATCAACCAAGAAGAGAGAACCCAGTTATTTGATTGGATGTCATTTGCTTGACTCTGGGCACATAGTTACGGATTGTGCTTTCAGAATTATCTACCAAACACTGAATAGACGTTTACTAAAACTAGCAAACCATATCAATAAAACAACTTTTCTGTTTTATGTATACAAAAAGAACTTGCAGTTCAAGTGGAGAAATCAACACCCTGACTTGACAATGACTATGGGATTTAGTTTTTTCATCGAAGTTTTCATTTTTAAGTGCTTCTTTATAAGTTGATTTAACTCTGTAGAAACGCACCTGACAAGGTACAGTGAAATAAGCCAGGCAATAAATTGTGCACTGTATTGTTAAAATTCACATTTTTTAACATTTATTATTGTTCTAATCAACACTAATTACTGACATTTTAAGGACAGTTGACAGCTTTGATTTGTGCATAGAGAGAGAAGGGCAGAAAACAGAGAGAAGGGCAGATAACAGAGAGAAGGGCAGATAACAGAGAAGGGCAGATAACAGAAAGAAGGGCAGATAACAGAAAGAAGGGCAGATAACAGAGAGAAGGGAGGATAACAGAGAGAAGGGCAGATAACAGAGAGAAGGGCAGATAACAGAGAGAAGGGCGGATAACAGAGAGAAGGGCAGATAACAGAGAGAAGGGCGGATAACAGAGAGAAGGGCAGATAACAGAGAGAAATAAAAGAGTTGAATGGGGGTATACCGTGAGGCAGACCAAGAAGACTGGAGAGATATACAGGCAGGCCTACAAACACTTGAAGTTTGACTGGAGAGATATACGGGGAGGCCTACAAACACTTGAAGTTTGACTGGAGAGATATACGGGCAGGCCTACAAACACTTGAAGTTTGACTGGAGAGATATACAGGCAGGCCTACAAACACTTGAAGTTTGACTGGAGAGATATACGGGCAGGCCTACAAACACTTGAAGTTTGACTGGAGAGATGTACAGGCAGGCCTACAAACACGTTTGACTGGAGAGATATACGGGCAGGCCTACAAACACTTGAAGTTTGACTGGAGAGATATACAGACAAGCCTACAAACACTTGAAGTTTGACTGGAGAGATATACAGACAGGCCTACAAACACTTGAAGTTTGACTGGAGAGATATACAGGCAGGCCTACAAACACTTAAAGTCTGACTGGGGGGAAAAAGGGCCAATCATAGCGATGAAAGAAGGCGGGCAGTAAGCCTCAAGGGCTCAGAATGCAGAAGAAGAAAATTCTGAATTTAGTCAGCAGTTTAACTCAGAATACTTGTGTCTGGTCTGTCAGGTTTTCAAAGATGTCTACATTACAAGCGAGAGACATGACTCCATAATCAACTTCTACAACCATATTTTTATGCAAGAGATTAAGACATTTCTCCTTCAGTTTTCTCCCGGCAGTGGCGTGGTAAGAAATATGTTTCACTTATAGTAACATTTAGGGGCAGGGTTGGTAATGTAACAGTTGAGTATGACTCAAAGATTTAAAAAAAAAACGTGTATCATAAAAGCACACAGATGGGGGGGGGGGGGGGAACAAGATTGCTCACCAGGCAACCATGTCAGGCATGACCATGGACATAACTAATGCTTCTAGAGCACTTACATTTGAAGCACGCAGCCATGCATGCAATAATCATTCCAGACTCTGTGAACCTGCTTTGGAAAATCGCAACTGGTAGCTTGAGCATTCGAAAGCCGCAGTTAACCCCCATCACCTGGATCTACACACCTGGGATACCGGAGTTAAAGGTAATGAATGAGCTGACCAGCTGGCAAGTAATACACCAATGCAAACATAAGTAGAGCTGTCGTTGTGTATGATGGTGAAACATGACAACCTCTGCTTACTAATGATGATAATGAGTGAATTTCTTGTTTGCTGACCTTTTTATTAACTGAAATATTATTATGTATTGTATGTGGAATATTAATGATTCCAGAATCAACATAGTGCAACGCTGGATTCTACCTCTCCCACAACAATTGTCTTAGCCCTTTCACCCTGGTTGCCCTAACAAAAACAAAACAAAATAACAAAAGTCATGACCTTGTGGGAATTCTAGGAAAAATATTTTTAGCATTTAAAATTGTTTTTCTCAAAATATAAAAAGAGAAATCAGTAAATTCTAACAGAGGGAAACATTTACTGGAATACAGACCCCAAAAATATATATGTATGGGTGATTCCTTGTTGTGAAACGGGTCTTTCTCACCTGAGGATTACTGGGAAATTTGACGTCAACTAGACTTTTAGAAGAAAAAACAACATTTGGTTTGAAGCAAAAAATACCCTACATGCTATTTTGTGTCAATATGTTAACATTCTGACTTCACACTAACTCGTCAATATGTTAACATACTGACCTCACACTAACCCGTCAATATGTTAACATACTGACCTCACACTAACCCGTCAATATGTTAACATCCTGACCTCACACTAACCCGTCAGTATGTTAACATACTGACCTCACACTAACCCGTCAATATGTTAACATACTGACCTCACACTAACCCGTCAGTATGTTAACATACTGACCTCACACTAACCCGTCAATATGTTAACATACTGACCTCACACTAACTCGTCAATATGTTAACATACTGACCTCACACTAACTCGTCAATATGTTAACATACTGACCTCACATTAACCCGTCAATATGTTAACATCCTGACCTCACACTAACCCGTCAATATGTTAACATACTGACCTCACACTAACCCGTCAGTATGTTAACATCCTGACCTCACACTAACCCATCAATATGTTAACATCCTGACCTCATACTAACCCGTCAATATGTTAACATACTGACCTCACACTAACCCGTCAGTATGTTAACATACTGACCTCACACTAACCCGTCAATATGTTAACATACTGACCTCATACTTTAATGTTTGGGTGGGCTTGAGCACAGCATTAACTGTATGTCTCATAAACAGGTCAGAATAGATAGGCAGGAAAAGTTGGTGGCGAGAGGGGGGTAATCCAGACAGGAAGTTAAATTAAGAATCAACATCATAGCACTCGGGACACCCTATAAGCGCCCTGTCCCCATCTTCAGCAGCAATTGAAGAGTTCCAGTTCCGATGGCATCAGTAACTGTCTGATTGCATTCCCATCTCTCCCTTCCCTTGAGTGTTGGGTGTCGGCCAGATCCTCTGGTAACTCCTTGCAGTGCCATTCTCCTCAGACCATAATGATCTATTTGCGCTTCCGCACTGTTCACCCGTTCCAAACAGGAAGTGTACATAGCTAGCATTATTTTTTTTTAATTATTTGGGTTTTATGTTATCACCCACTCTCTCTCTGTAATGTTATTTGAATGTTTTATATATTGTTTACAGTTGACCATTCCAGTAGACACTGATTGTACATAAAATATAAACTTAACATAACATATCCAGCATTTTTATTTGAATTATTTGTGTTTTATTTAAACAGTTAGTGGGGGGAGGAAGGGGGGGAATCCACACAGGCTGTAATGTTCTTTGACTGTTTTATATATTATTAACAGAGACCTCAGCTTTCTCCAATGCCGAGGCAAAGTCTGGCTTCCCCAAGCTGTTACAGGTTAGTGTTTGAATCTTGTTGTCTGTGTTGGTGTTTTTACCAACATTATTTTTCCAGTGCCAAACGCAGACGTTAACAATAAAAGACAAAAGAACAGAAGTGAAATGTCTGTGATAAATCCTGAATGTTGCTAGAAGAGACAGGATCAGAAGTGAGGATATCAGGACAGAAGTTGGGGCAGAACCAGTAGTCAGCTACACCGAGACAACATATGTCAGGTCTACCACCGGATATTGTCCCTACAGAGAGCCCTGTAATTTATTTAGACAATGGAAAAGGGGCCAGAGGTGACCACACGAGCCACGGATAGATAAAATATCCGAGGCTGTAATCACCAGCATTTGCTTTGCACATACCCAAGGCTGGCACCCAAAGCCTCTTCACAATCTGACATTGTAAGGCAGAACAAGACTAGGAGACGAAGTGTTGTCTGTTCACCATCAGATGGAACAACTGCTTAGGTTCGTATTGAGCTGAGTTGATTCAAAGACCGACATCACAGCAGTCGGGGCATACCTATCTTCAGCAGCCAGCGCAAAGTTCCACTACCAGCGGTGCCAGTAGTATTCTTATTATTATGTCCGTCTTGCCTTTCCTCTGAGTGTTGAGTATTGGCCAGATCCACTGGTCACTCCACGCTGCATTACTCTCATAGGACTGTGATGATAAATTTACTGTTTTTAGGTTAGTGTATGAGTGTTAACATCTTGTGGCATGAAGGAGTTTCATTAGTATTGACCCCAAAACAGGTAAAAGAACATTTCTTTTTAAATAAAACCAAAGACTGAGATATTTGGGTTAAAAGCTGACATCATAACACTTTAGACAATCCAATAAGTGCTCTGTCTCCCCATCTTCAACAGTCTGTGCAGACTTCCATTTCTGATGGTGCCATTAGCAGTTTGACTGTATGTCTGTGTTGCCCTTCCCCTGGAGTGTTCAATGTTGGCCAGATCCCCTCGTCACTCCTCGCGAAAGCATTCTTTTCAGACCGGGCTATCGAGTGCAGAACACTCACTTCATATCTCTGGTGATGAGATCTGCGGATAGTTTGTATACTTGTGTTACGTAGCACGGCATGGAATGATGATGTTAATTATACTGATAAGATATTTTTGGTAGAAAGATAAAAGTAGTTTTTTTTTTATGTCAACTTTCAATCCATTTTTAATCCATTCTTTCTGAAAATCACTATCATCTGCGCTGCCGATAAGTGAAGAAAGCAATTTTTTTATCTCCAGTCTACACTATCACTAGAATTGCAGATCACTGCTGTTGTCCCGCCCTATCTAACTGGGCAAGCCATCCAGATATTTATTTCTTTGTCTTTCCTTTGCTCTTTTTCCCCATCAGTCTTACATTTGTCATTAGGTTTTTGAGTCTGTCTCATAACCTTTCCACAGACACACACAAAAATAAAATTGATATCCTAGGTCTAATTTCTCTAATTTATGTTTTTCATCTGTCTTGAGAAGAACTGTCTTTTGTTTGCCTGTCATTCTAAATATTCTTCACATTCTTCTAAGATTCAAAACAAAATAAAAACCACCTCTCTGCACAGAGTATTTAAAAAAAAACTTGTCTGCTAATTGTAGTTGTAGACATGTTGATCTTCATAGTTTATGTCTTTGGCATTTTGATCTTCAAGAATTAAAGTTCTCTAATTTAAATATGCTCATGTTTTAAAAATGTCTACAGTTTGCCTGGGAAGAAGAATTTTACAGTATCTCCTCTTCGGGAATCGCCTTTCAAGGCACCGGCATCGCCAGGTTTTATGACTCCACGGACCAGGTTGCTGTATTCTTTTGGAGAGAGTGTAAGCATTATGGTATTTTCTCTCTCTAGGTAAAATATGCTGCCCTATCTTTCTCAACTCCCTTTCCTATCTATTTATTCTTTTCTTTCTCTTCTCTTTTCTGATAAAAAGTAAGAATAATTTATGATTCTTATGCATTTTTCAGTGTACACGTTTCTAGCTATATATTTTTTTCTCAACAGTCATCTGAAAAATTAAAAGAATTCAACGAAACAATAAAGCCCAGAAATGGTCTTGCTTCAGCAAAGAAAAGATTAAACATGGATATGTTACCGTAAGTATATGTTGCGTCTCAACCAGTCAAATATATCATGAAAAATATCAGTCCGAACAGGAAGACAAACTTGTCAGCTTCACAATGTCACAGTCAGGAATAACAAAATTAACATTGTAATTAGAAAGCCTTCGTCATTGTACAGCAACCAGATTATGTAGTAATTTTACACCAGCCTCTCTGGCCAGTAGAACTTGCTTTGTGGGTCAGTTTTGGACTGCATGCCATAGTTTTCTCACCCCGGTGTCCATCTGTACTGGAACAATAGAGGCTATGCCTTCACTTATTGTTGCAGCAGGAAGATACAGGGCCAGGAAAGCTGGGATTGCTAAGCAGGGTAAGATAATACAGCAGGGGACATAACTCAGTGTATAAATAAAACTGTATTGAACATTAATGCCATCATGAGAGAGACAGGCCAGTAGATAGATAATATGATTCTTAAGAGACTTAAGGACTTCATTGGAAAGACTAGACCTAAATGGTTGTGACTTCCATGACAAAAACACCTCGACAACTTCTTTACTAGTTATGTGATGTGCTAAGTGGATGGGAAACTCTAGAGACCAGATAAATAGCATGATAAATAAATTGATTGGCTGTCACAGATGTAGAAGAAGTAGAGGTAGAGGACACTTGACAGTATGCAAATCTAAAACTTGATGTTCAAGCCTTGTTTTCCAGAAACTGCACTATCCTCACCATTTTGTCTCGGCCACCATTATGTTTAACGTGACCAAACTACTTTAGCTTTCAGGACAGGATGCTGTTTATGAGCCAATTCTCCCCGGAGCTTAGGTCATGTAGGATGTCAATGTTTTCTTTCCTTTTGGTCCATGTTGTTCTAAGAATTTCTATATGCTTTATATTATACTTAAATAAGTCTACTTATATGTTTTCATTTGTTTTTAGTTCGCCTGTGTCCAAAGTGAAAAAAGCTTTCTAACAGACAGCTGGACACACAGACGGCTCAACTCAGTAAGAAACGTCAAATGAAAGGCAGCAGCTAGCATAAATGTGTTAGTGATGACACACACAGGAGTTGAATTCTTTCCCGTGAAACTGAAATTTGTTCAGAATCAAATCAAGAGCTAATCTTATAATGTTTTGTCCCATTGTTATGTTATTTTAACTGGAGTTAATCCTCTCGCCCAGAGAACGCTAAACAAATGCGACCTGACCTCATTAGAATTGCAGGGAAAAATCTTTAATAAACACAACAATTTTACAGAGGTCGCTAAAAATTATTAAAAATAAATTATTGATCTACATTTTTTTTTTTTTTTGAAATATATATCGAAATACAGCCAGTAGCATTAACTATGTGTCTTAGAAACAGGTATCTATAAACAAGTCAGAAAAATTACATTTATGGGGAATTAGACCCAACCAGAGGTGTCAGTTCTGGGGCTTCTCTGGGTGAAAAGGGCAACTCTTCTTTCTGTGCCAAGCCATCTACCAATTGTGATTGGCTATGTTTCATTGTTTACCAGTCATTGTGTTATGTTTGATTGTATTCACTGCATTTAGTCATAGCATACTAAGGAAATCTGGCATTGCATTTCTTTTTACAAATGTTTGTTTGGCTCCTGTCAGAGAAATACACTCCTGTCTCTTCTGTCTTCTGTAAATACCAGACCATAATTAAAATTTGCTTATCTTGCTGTCTCAGTGGCTTCAAATTCCTAGAGATTTATTTCTGAATACTACATAAATGACCCAGTCTTCCCTGTTGAAAGGTGGCAGGACAGGCGAACACGGAGGTTTGGCAACTGATAGAGGACAGCTCGCTAGGCCAGGAGATGTAATTATATACACTGATAGGTGGGTGGCCAGGGATAGAAAAAGTGGATGGGGCTTCATTGCAAAAGCATGGGGAAGAGGGATGACAGAGGGGAGCCTGGCATATAACATGACCACATCCAGCTTGAGAATGGAGGTTGAGGCGGTAACTGGTGTTCTGATTGATGAAGAAATCTCAGCCACAGATGTTGTTGTAGTATCACACTTTTAAAGCCAGCTCAGGAGGGTGGAGTCAAGTTTTCTTCGTTTCCAATGGCTGGCATCCGTTCCTGAGAATCACATGGATATTTTGCCTGGGCTCTGTAGGGTTATTTTGAAATGATCGGGCGGATTGGCTGGCTGGACTGGTTCCACGTGGGGGGGAGGGGTGCTGCAAGTGTAGAAGGCAGAGGTGATCTGTCACCTGTGGGACAAGGTAATAAATAAAATGGATGATATTGAAAAACCCTTGCCTGGAGAGAATATTGCAGCAGAGAGTGTCTTCTGGCTCTGGGCGACACTTGAGTCTAGGGGAAAGGCAAGGCAAGTAGTTAACCGGATGACAGCGGGTACCATGAGTGTAGAGACTTTTTGCGGGCTGCTGAGAGGGCAGACGGAGCTAAAATGGGCTTTTTCTAAATGTTGTGATGTTGAATCTTTACTCAAATGAACCAGGATCCTTGTTAAAATCCTACTTTAAGGGGTCGCAATCATACTTACGAAGCAGTCTAGACAAAGGTGCGGCAACAGGCTAGAGGCAAATGCTAAAATTTCTGTGCCACTGTGCTCCTAAGCTAAACATACACACAGAGCCAGATTTGTTTAGTATATCCTGACTAAATATATTAAGCTAGATTGAAGAGAAAGAACAAACCACTTGTTGTTTGGAACTTCAAGTGTTACCTCCATACACACATAGAAAACTCAAGAGAAAAAAACTGGGCGGCCCTCAGTTTGTTTAAAAATGATTTGCTTTTCATTTATTTATTTTTTTTCAAGTTAATTATTTTTAAAAGAGTGACATTTCAGTTTTGTTCACGTGAAGAACAAATGTCCGTGGACGCCTCTGTGATGGCAGCAGGGACTGATCCTCTAGTGCCACATCACTGTTATTTTCTTGTTATCATTGACCAGCTGTAAACTCAGGTGGAAAGTTCTAGTTGTTTGTCCACTCCTGGACTTTGGTCTTGATCCAGAACTTCAGTTTTGTATCGACAACCACTTTATAGTTGTGGCTTTTTCGTATGCAGACTCTTGGTTCCTTCCCTGTCAGGCAGATGTATTCCTGTTTCAAAGGATGCCCCCTAGTAGCCAACTTCTACAACATGCCTTTTTTTTTCATTCTTAAGGATTTATTAATATTCTGTTCCTTTGCTTTTAAGCGGACTGTTAAATCCTGAAAAAAATTAATTCAAATTTTTTCAGTTTTATTACTAAATTTTATTTGTCTGCATAAATATGTCTGCATAACTCGTGTAGATGGGTGGCCAGATTATGGGGTTGGTAAGTTTTAGTATGGAACATGGAATGTGAAACCGAACTTACTTTTCACATCGTAAAGAGACAATCTACATTCTCTGGTCATGTCATGAGAACGAGAAAACTGGCGTACATCGTGGCGGTAGGAAAGTTGGAGGGGAGGAGAGACAGAGGAAGACCGAGAAAACAGGTCCTGTACAGTTTGACATTATGACAATGAAAGATCATCTGTGTCAAAGTTTATTGAAAGTACACGAGACAGAAGGTTGTGGATAGACATGACTACCAGCGCCACACGGAATGTTTTAGCACACTTGTTTGTTTTATTTTATCTGGTTAAACATTAAAATATTTGAAAGTGTATGTATTAAATTAATATTATAAAAGTGAAACCTTGAGATACATTTGGTATCTGGTGCCAGTCTGCTGTTTTTGTTGATCAGTTGGCACTTGATCCTGACGCCTTCAAGACTTTACTGGTTGCCTCTATTTCTACAAATATTTCCTCTGACTCATTTAAGACAACCTGGGAGCACAAGTAAATGTTTGAAAATAATCCCCACCAGCTGCTAGCTCCCCACCAGCTGCTAGCTCCCCACCAGCTGCTAGCACACGTGCCTCTTGACCTGATGCTCATGTGTTTGATTTCATTTTGAGATTTTGTTTTTGTTTGGGGGGGGGGGGGGGTGACCAGGAGCCTGAGGACAAAAAGGTAACAGGAAATTTTGTGGAAAGTAAAGAAGTAATTTAAAGGACCCCTTTCCACGCCTTTAGGCATATAGGGCAAGATCTGTATTTTATAGACCAATCGGCATAAGAGGGGTGATGTGGTCAGTGTCAAGCTGGCCGCCTTTACTTCCCAGGGACTGCACCCGGTACCCACTCAAGGCTGGGTTGACCTGGGAGCTAAGGTCTTTTTTGAAAAAAATTCGGCACCGCCATGGAGCAAACCCACGACCTTCCGAGCCACGTCTAGCAACGGTAACTCCCGGGAAGTGAAGATGGCTAGTGTAAAATCGAGACTACATCATCCATCATATACCAGCTGGTCTCAAAATGTGGGGCTGGCAGTATATGCCTGATAGTCCTGAGGCGTGAAGAAAAGTTCTTTACTTTAACTTGTCCAGTGCTAAGGAACACATCATGTGTTGATTTGTAAATAATATTTACTCCTTTGTGGTGACGAAAGAATTAAAGAACAATGTACACAGTCATGCTAGCACTTTTCTGTCCTAAAAATGTGAATTGTAGTCTGCATGAAATAGACTAGACGTAAGGCAAATTGACAGGATGAAACTTGACAAACACATACACACAAAAGAAAAGGAATCGCATTAAATACTTAATTTTGTTTTTTATTTTATTTTTTTATATTTGAATAAAGATGACACAAACGGTACATTCCATAGTTTATTGCCAGGCGGATTTTGCTATATCTTATCAGTGAAATCCTAGTTAGTCGTCAGATCATCCTAATTTTAATCAAACTTTCAGTCCATAAGTGATTAGATCCCATCCTCAGTAAACCCTTCAGCAGCTCACACTATTTCTAGGTTTATTGTTCATCGTTGGCTTCTCACATAGTGCTCCTATCTGGCTGCACCCCCACCCCACCCCACCCCTTACCCCCTTCCCTCCTTAAAAAAAAACTGAACTTGCAGTCAGAAAATGGTTGCTCATTCAGTCATCACTGCATGTCCCGACGTCTTCTCTAAGTAAATCAGCCTCAGTCTGGTCCACTGCTTGTCTGTCCCCCACAGTGATCCACTCATGTAATCACTTAATCACAGTTCCCAACTTTATAGCAAACTGACTACTCTATAGTTACAGAACCACACAGAATGTCCATCACTGTCCCTTGTTAAACAGTTGATACAGACAGCAGTCTTAGCAAACAAATCCAAAGGTTTACATGCACTAAATGTGTAAGGCAGCAGCCAGAATTGACGACATAAACAGTCCAACACTAGAAATGCAGTAGTTGAACAGCAATTAATCTCAAAACTACCACATGTTCTCTGGTGACAGGCTACTGGCCATCTTCTAAATCTGCAGTTCACAATACAAACCACGTTAGGCACAGCTGAAAAGCATTTCAAATGAAATATGTAGCTCACAGTGTCATACCATGCACTCATATCAGCAGTTGGGTGAAGGAACTGAATCGCTTTGGTCTAGATATGGAGAAAGTGCAAGAGCTAACTATTATCAGAAGCAAAAACTTGCCGTAACTAATAACAGTACCGCCTATCCACTATATTAACCAAAGTCAGGTCAGCCCCCGCATGTCAGCTTGTTTTAATACATACTTCTTCTTATAGTACATGTCTGCTGGAGTCTGTAGTTGTGTCTGCCCACATCCTTCTGTCTCATGTACTGTCAATCGTTTTTGTTACAGATGATCTTTCATGCCATTATGTCAAACTGCCCAGCATCTTCTCTCTCAGCCCCCCTCTGCATCTTGCCCTCCAACTTTCCCACTGTCACTGTGTACTTCAGTTTTCTCTTTCTCATCACATGAACAACAAATCTAGAATGTCCTCTTTTAATATGGGCAATCAGTTCTCCTCCCAAGTCAGTTTCTTTCAAGACATCCTTTGCTCTTTTTTAACGTCTCTGTGTTCTTATCATTTGTCTGTAAAATCAAGTCTCTGCCACTTCCACATAATGTTTCACTCATTGGCC